TATTCATATTCATCTTCGAAAGCAATTAGATCGTATCCATTAATATGGCTGATCCCAATGAATTCGACAATGTTCGAAGGTGTGAAAATCACTGACACCTCTTTTACTTATCCATTATCTTCATTGATGGATTGATCATTATCAGTCAGGCAATCATCTCTCTTTTTTTTCATAATTTCTCTCAATCACTCTCTTGTATTTATTTGATTTTTTCTCTCAAGGAAATACATTTTTCACCCAATACAAATGTTCAATTTCGTATAATATCCAATCGTAAAATAATAAATTCTTTTTTTTTTATCTTCTCCAATTCACTCTCCGGATGAGACTATAAAAAACGGATCTTCACCAGCAAATGTACATCATTTCCCGAAATCGTAAAGTATATTTCTACTTCTCTTCCTCTCCCCTTAAAATCTACGACGAATACTGCTCCTTTATTTAATAAATAACAGGTATGTTAAATTAAATTTCTTTTCTTCAAATAATATCTCCAATATCTAAGAGTATTTCTATAGAATTATTATCAAAAATATTTAAAATAGAACAAAGAATAAATTCTCATTTTTTTTCTTCAATCGTTCGAGCCATTGATAAAAATTAAGCTTCATTTCAAAATTCTTTTTTTTTTCTTTTCCTTGCTGTCTATACATTTACTAATTACATCAGGTACATAAAAGCTATTCTCAGAGATTTATTATATTCAAAAAAAATTTCTCTTTCATAATAATCAATTTTTAATATTTTCTAACGATTAATAACGAAGAATAAACCAATTTCATTTACTATATATTAAAAAGTAATACCTATCATCTTTTTCCTTTTCTCCAATGCTGAGTCATCATAAAAGAGCCACTTACATTAAGGAAGCTATTTCGCATAAGAGAGGGCGCTCTATAATGCAGTCCATAGTTCAAAAAAAATCATTAAACAATTCATAAAGCTGTTCTTGAGTTCATCGTTGAGATCGAGATATCTATATATAGAAGTTTAGAAACGCGTCGTGTCGATCTTGATTTTCTTAAAAACTTAAATTTATATATTAATACACACCAGTATTGTATTTAAGAATTCTCTGCTTGCTTTTAGTTTAAATGTAGAAGGAAATTGTTCGAAATTTTTCCTTTTAATTTATTCCATAATGCAGTGCTGAACCTACCTGATGATGATCCCTTGAGAAAGGATCGAAACTAGTCGTAGCTTCATTCTTTATATATTAATACACACCAGTATTGTATTTAAGAATTCTCTGCTTGCTTTTAGTTTAAATGTAGAAGGAAATTGTTCGAAATTTTTCCTTTTAATTTATTCTATAATGCAGTGCTGAATCTACCTGATGATGATCCCTTGAGAAAGGATCGAAACTAGTCGTAGCTTCATTCTTTATATATTAATACACACCCACACCCACACCCTCAAGTTTTGATGTGAGTATGGCTTTCATTGATTGAAACGGTACAGTCCTTGAGAAGACCTACTATATCTTTATTATTCTATTCTATTCTGTTTCGATTGGAATGAAGGAATCCCATTAGTTATTTTTATTGATTATGTATAGAAAAAAAACAGTATTTTAAGACACTGATTCGAAAAACAAAACATAAGCTTTGTTTTTTTTAACAAAGAAGAGAATTTGTATCGAGTTTTATATAAATAGAAGATTTATTGTGTAGAAATGTAATCATTATTATTCTTAAGAAACGGTGAGTATTTTTCTATATGAACCATGTACAGAAACTTATAGCCTTTGTACTACAGTAATCGCTCAGCTATACAATTTTCATTTTCCCACTGAAGTCAGTGTTTGAACGTAACGCGAAGTGCATGTTGATTTATATTTGGAAGCGTGTGCTAGAAAATATTTAAAACTTAAATTCGTTTTCCAGTTATATCATAGCCCTATTTATTTTAAATACGGTTATGAGACCCATGAATATAGATGTGAGCAGTATGAGCTTCTTGGAAATAACCTATGTTCTCGAAAACGTAACTATGAACATATTGGCGATTCGTAATCATCATAATATAATATATACGACGTTTACAACCACTTTTCCTGACCAGAAAGTAATCAATAAGTAGGACGACGCATGAGTTAAAAAACGAATTGTTCTAAGATCAGCGTTCATTTTATAGCTGTATTTGACTGTTTGTATGCCTAGATGAATCCAATAAACTTTACAAAAATGGTGACGAACTCGAATGTTGCTGTAACTGGCAGCACGGTTATCACATTCAAACCGGATATGCGCACCGCGCTAAGGCATTTCGTTGAGTGATGCAACCACTCCACGACTGCTCCATGCTAACTAGAAAATTGTTTCTAACTTATTTCACAGATTCGTTGCACCAATGTTTGTAAAATAATAGTGTCACATTTAGTATACGTAACAGAAACCCGTATATTGAACTGACACTGAGCCATCGTAATTATGGTTACACTTGATTTCAGGCAAATTCAAAAATTATCATGTGTTTAAATTGTAAGCTCGTTTCTCCGTAGCAATTCAATAAGTTTTAAAATGGATCTATCTTATATTAGAGTCATTTTTAAAGAAAATGAATTAAACTTTTCTTAATACATTTAATCGAGAGTGTCAAGATTTAGTAAAAAGACTAGCAGCATCTCATAAAGAATGAGCTTGCTGTTGAATCAATTCATTTTCTTCTCATTTCAACCTTTACCTGTCGTTTTTTAAGATTACTCTGGGTGTAATTTGCAAAATATTTATTTCAAAGGAGAATCAAGAGTAAAACTAAATTATCAATTTCCATCCTTGTCTTAAAATACTAGTTCAAATATTCTGAAAGTGAATCTTTTAGGTAAATATTCGTAAAAGAAATTGATTTTTTAATATGAATTCACGGAATTTTTTTTTAACAAGGGATAAACGTTCAGCTTCATTAAAAATAAAGTTGAACACTTTAAAAAAAGTTGCGCAATTACACTAGAAAAGATGGAGGCTTCCGATTCCTACAAACACCAGCAATAAACGAAAAGTCATTCAAGGAATCGGCGATTGTCCTACACGCAGTAAAAGAATCGCTCCCAATACCCAGCTATCTCCCTAACAAACAGCAAATCATACAGTACCTTGTCACTAACATATTAAACAAAATACCTACATAATCACTGAATTCCTCCGATAGGGATTAACTACCGTCGATATAACACCGAATCTTCTCAGGTAAAACCTAGGAACTGATGGCAATTCCTATACAAGGGATTTACGTAACCAACACCACAGTCGTGAAAAATACGACGAAACGACTACCATGCTTCTAACAAAGTTACCTGCTAGGGAGCCATTCGACATCCTTCGAGTAACCCAGGAGCTGTTCTCTCTGACCTCATCGTTCTAATTCATATTGGCTCCTGAAAAGCGCCGGGTAACAGAGGAATTATGATAGTTCTGCTGATAATTCCCTGGATCTTTTTCAGGCGCAGTTTCTGCCCACAAAAAAATACTTCTTTGCAACCGTTATCTGAGTTTGGAAGAGGTTGTTATGTTGCTATGTCCGCAATGAAGGGGAATCGTCTACTGTTAACATCAGTTCCCCAGTTCCTTGAAGGAAATGTGGGTTGATGCCGTGACGGTAGTCAGGTCAGTACCTTGGTACTGTCAGGAGAACTATCATAATTCCGTTGTCGAGAAAGATTGTGAAAGTGTATTCGATAAGTGTCTGTTCCCCAGTCACTGGATGTTAGTTTCACTGTAGATGGGCCGTGGAATTGCATTTTCAATATCAGTTCCCTGCTTAGATAAAGAGGATCAGTTCTGTAAGATACTTAAGTTCCCCGGATAGTGATGATCCTCTGAGCTATAGTAAGGATGTTTGAGATGAACGTGAAGGATGTTTAGGTTTGGTATTTTTGCGGTTTACATATTTTGTTGTGTAATTTGAAGAAATAGATAGGGTAGTGAGTAAGGATAATTCATGGCTCCGTTGATCAATTCTCGTTTCCTCGAAGTTATTATCTCTTTTCGCTGGGACTTGTAGGTATCGGAAGAATTCCTAAACTTCAGTCATTGGACACTGCTGTTCATTGTAGACTTAAAAGATGACATTTCACCTTCTTGTATGAATGAATTCTAGGTCGATGCTAAGCTATTTTCTTTTGATGAAACACAAGAAAAAACTTGTATATGCTGAAAGACGTTAAAATTGATTTAGGTGTTTGATGTCCAATGTCAAAAAATTTTAATTGTCAGAATCAAACCTCAATCTGGCGACTGCTGGTCAAAAACAGCAAGACTTTTCAGACAGTCTGCATTCTCCTCACTTTCAAAAGTTCTTCGGCAACGTGACCTCCTCTGCCTTCACGCACAGGGCGCAAAATGTCTGCTCCAAACGGACTAAAAATACCGATTGAATCGCTTATTCACGATTCTAGTCTATTAATATTCACCAGCTCCTCCAACAGCTGCTAACAAGACATATCTGAACTCCGGAGCCCGTGCCAATGCCTCCCAAACCAATACCTATACTAAACTCATATTTTTACCCCTACTCTCAAAGCATTCGCAAAGCTTCCGAATTATGCTAGCATAAAACTAACACATTACTCACGCTCACTCTCATACACAGTTTCAAAATTACGAGATTTAAAACTTAGCATCCACCTCAGAATGGATTATTTTAGGTTTCAGTTTTAAACGCATTATAATGACTGAAAGACGAGTCGAACAGGGCATTTGCAATAGAGATTCCAATTCTTTGTTTCGTAATAATCACAATGCTAGTCAAAGCGTTTTGTAAAATCGGTATAAGTAGCGATGGGCTTCTCATCACGGAATACTTGTAGGTGTCTAGCAATTTTGTGAAGCTTCGGCAAGGAGCAGCTTGATTCGCATCCTTTATGTGATGAAACTTCAACACTAAAATGAAAACACGTTTTTTTTGCTCGTATGGGGAACTTTTTCTAAGAAATACTTATACGTGTTGCAAAATTTAGATTAGTTGTTTCATCTTGATTTAACGAAACAAATACTAGTTGAATGATTATTGGACTTTTTCATTTCCTACTGTGCTGTTTTGCTGTCGATGGAATTCATTTCAATGGTGGCACCATCACGTGGAAACCTGTATACCCCTTCGTCAATTCAAGTTCAGTATTAATAACTATTATTCAGTCCTACTCATGGACGTATCCGACTATTCTTTGTGCGAACAACGTACCTATTACGACTCCTGGGCGGAGTGGAGCAAACACTAATTTGATATGCGTATCTAGCTGCGGAACTGACGGTGGGTATTCCACTAAGCCTGTGAATATTTTAACAGACTGTGTGTCAACTAGTTTATCGCTGGGTATGATGTCAAGCTCACGATCAGTGAATATTTCACTGACAGCTGGTACACATTTTTACTTAGCATTTCAAGGAAGTGCTTGGACAGCACTTGAAGATCCTCCTGTGAGTGGCCTATACTGGTCCATTGTTACATTCATCGATCTTCGATTTCGATCTGACGGATTTATCAATACCCCACCTGAAGCAACGGTCGTTTCTCCACAATATGCAATTGTTAATCAAACAACTCAGATTAAAATACCTGTATCGGATGTCAATCCAGGTGATGATGTTCGTTGTCGATGGTCCATGAAGATACCTGGGCAACGAAAACGAAGACTAGCTCATGAATACGAAAGGTCCTACAATGACTTCACTACCAACAATTACAGAAAATTAACTACATCTGGAGAAACTGCTCATATAAGAAACAAACGCAGACGCGGAGGAGGATCATGGGGAACCACTCAAAATCCATGTACTACTAAGTCTTGTTCTACATCCTGCAAAGGTAATTGTCCATGTACCTGTCCATCTTGTTCAGGGACCACATGCACTGGTGTTACATGCAATCAGCCACCAAAATCTTCGTGTCCAAAAGGTACAACAACAGCAGAAACTCCAGGAACTATACCAATAACTTCATCGTACCCGAGTGTTCAGGCGATTGATGAATGCGGTGGTATTTGCTATCCAAGTAGTGTACCCACTGGAACAACTTTGTCCAATTGCACTTTGTCGTTTACGGGACTAGTTCCCGACACTTGGTATGCCGTGTCTATCCAGGTAAATATAGTCCCCATGTCATCTATCTCGATTTTGTTCGATATTCAGTTTCTTCTTGCTCGTGGGCAGGCTATGGTGAACTAACCATAGTCCAATATAGATCGAAGTGTTTCGTTAGAACGTGATCACTAGCGCTTTCTCAAAAAATTCGATTGAGTAACGCTCAGATGCTTTAGCGTGTGGGTGTAGATGTGAGTAGAGACACGTTTAACTCGCACCTACACCCAGCTTCTCAGTATTTTAAACTCACATTGGCTGGATTTCGATGCATAGGATAAATCTTGTTTTTGAAGATGTACTGTTCTCTTTTCTGCAGAAATCATGCTCACTAATGTTTAAAGGATATAACTAGAAATTCATGTGTTCTTAATGATGGGAGTCCAATATGACTCATTGAAAAACTTAGTATGCTCACAAAAATAAAAATTTATCGTGCTCTACGTAAGTAGGTCAGATAGCAATATCAAGGCAAGTTTAGGCAAATGAGATTGAGTAACCACTATTCTTGAAAGATGAGTTCAAAACACGGATCATGATTCTTAATCACAGTATTTTTTAGAAACCAAGGATACTGATACTGTGTGCTTCATTAAAAGTGATACAAAACACTTTTTTCTTCAATGTGACAGTAACTGAGAATGTGTACTAATTAATATTTTGCAGAATCAAATCAAAATTTGAATGCACATGAGCGAAAAATCGATCGAGTCAGAATAAGAACAAATAAATATGATATTTTTTTCGGATGTATTTACGGTATGAAAATAAAAGGATTCGGTAAACTTCTAGAAAGAGCCATGTAATACTGAACGAACAGGTCATACTATTTGTTTTCGCCAAGAGCCATTTGTTACGACTTTGTCAGGGAATCAAACAGCACCTCTGTTACATAATAATTCGCTTTTTCGGCAAGAAATTTGACGTGCATATTATTGTCTGAATACTGCCGTCGAAGTGTAAGATCTATTGGAGAACTTTTGAGCTGAAATAATATTTTTGTTATTTTAAAAAAACTCTGTAATCCAATCGCTAAATCAAATATTTTCTTTTCCACAGGTGGAAGACTTTGTAAACTCAACTAGCACTACTCCAATGAGTTCTGTGCCAGTACAATTTTTGATTTATGTGATGCCACAGCCGTCCTGTACAATAGCGCCTATCATTATTCCTCTCACAGGTTGTTTGGAAGTAAAAGTCGGTGTTACGAATACGTTTAATATAACTGTGGCAAATCAGTGTGATCCTGACATCGCTGATATTTCTGATCTGATTGTATCAAACGGGATCACTGGTATGGAAGCTGGAAATTTAACTTATTCCCCGACTAATGATTCTTTTGTCTATGTCATATTCACTTGGACACCACAATTAAGTCAGCTTGGACCTCAAGTATTGTGCGCAATTGCCTTCACTGAGTAAGCCCGTCATATACTTCCTTACCAAATATTATAGTACCATGTTCTTCCATTTAGGGAACAAGTGCAATCTGCACAGTATTGTGTCACGTTTACTGTGGTTACCTCAGCTGCAAATTGCATAACAACAACAACCACAACAACTACAACATCCAGCGCCACCACCACCTCTACTAGCACTAGCACGACAACATCAAAGACCACTACCTCCACTTCAACTTCCACAACTACAACAACAACCACAACGTCAACTTCAACTTCCACGACATCAACAACGACCACAGATACAACTACGACGACAACAACGACCACAACAACGACGACAACCACGGCTACAACAACGACGACAACTACCACGACGACGACGACAACAACCACGACTACAACTACGACAACGACAACGACCACGACGACATCAACGACCACAACGACAACAACAACGACAACCACGACCACAACTTCGACAACGTCCACAAGCTCAACATCAACAACAAGTACTACCGCTACGACGTGAGTTATTTGTGTTGTCTATTTGGAAAAAGGATAAGATGTCACTTAATTGTGAATACGGCAAATCCAAAACCTTCGAATGGTTCGATGTTTGGACTTGGGTTTTGAGATTTGATTCAGATTTCAAATTTGATAATAACTGAAATCCAAACAGTAGGGACTTCATCCTTGTTCCTTATATCATTTTCTGACTGTCACCAATCCATATAAAAGTAGATTAATGTTGGTCAGCTTTTACTTATTCAATCAAAATGATTGATAATATGAAAGGCAGGCTACCCACTTCGCCTCTTTTTTTACGAAAAATAATGGATATACATTGAAGCAATATGATGGGTGAAAGTATTGGAAACTTTGCTTGAGCACATATGATAACGTTGAAATAGATATAAATGCTCAACATAATAGTTTTAGGTACTTTTCTGCTTAGTATGTGATGATCGTAAAAACAGAAAATAATATCAGGGACTAAAAGGAAGATATTATAACTAAAAAGTTGTAAATTGCTTATTTCAACAACCGCGTAGAAGTTTTAAACAAACTATAAGTTCGAGCTCATAGATAGTATTTTTTTTACAATTATTCATAGAGTTTGAACGAAAGACCTCGAGAACTAGGAACATTTACTCTATCCAAATCTCTGTTAATTTGAAGTCGAAAAGGTCCACTTGGAGATGAAGTCTTAATAAATTTTCGCGAATCGCTAAACTCATCCGACCAGCTTTCTGGCTTTAAGCGAGTATAATTGGTCTAGTAAAAATCTGGGCTTTAAGAAGTCGTAGAAAATAAATGATAGTACACTCGAGATCAAAGCTCTATTTATATATACCTGTTGCTTACATATTAATCTGTTCGAATTGAGGTTTAAGTGATTGCAGAGCTATTGGATCCATTAGAATTTTTATTGGTGTATGTCTCAGCACAAATTTTGGCGTGTGTGGTATGAATTCTTCCTTCAGATCGATCAAAACGGCTTCTGAAATTCTCAATTAATTTTGTTTTTATGTATTTTATTTCTTAGTGCTACTGTGAACAATACAAAACTTTGAGTACGGGATTATTTTTATATAGTAAAGGTTTCTATAATTTCAAGCTAACGTTTATTTTGCAGAGAAGATCACAAAATACATGATTTAAATGCTTTTAGAGTGTAATAGTCTTTAAAATAGTCCATACGACAAAATCCATCATCTCATTCAATGCATTCATACGAAGTATCTCTTCTTAACTTTGCTCTTCTCACAGTATTGGTACAAACGTAACATTTTCTTCTGGGATTCGGCTGAGTTGCTGTTGAGGCAATGCTCGAAGGGAAATGCCATACTGCTAGTCGCAGTGGTCTTTCAGAAGATGTTCGACCGATTGAACTTTACATCTGACTACCCTATTTTCCAATCATTTCTCGAACCAATGCAAGTTGATAAGTAGTTAAACGAAGACTGTCATTTTTTTCAATTTGTATAAAAAAACATATGCATTATAAATACGGAGATCCAGCAAATGAAAAAAGAACTTTTTCTATCGCTACTGATCGACCTATGCACTCTCATAATCTTATTTGCATGTCAAATCTATCGACTGAACTCATGTTCTCATTATATTCTTTCACACAAAGAGGTTTTATCTTCTGCTCTTTCGTTATAAAATCAACTTTTCCAGTTGAAACCATACTTAGTTAATGAAGTGTAGATAACATTTTAATATCACGTTGATCATTCCATTACAATGCAAGTAGATTGTCCATGTGATAAAAAAAAACACTTGCTCGCCAGGTTCCTTATGCTCTAATCCATGAAATCACATGCTGATTGGCAGAAATGTTAGGGAACAACCAATATTCATCACCATATATAGATAATCTTAAGCTTACAAATATCCTAAGACCAAATATTCATGTAATTCATGCCATTAAATAATCAAGAAATCATGTTTTCTAAAGTTATTCAGGTCTCAAAATATTAGGACCCAAATTCGCGTTAGCCGTATTCAAAGGATTAATCATGATCCTAAGTCAAATTAAAATTAATTTTTTTTTAATATTTTCAGAACCACCGTAACGACGACACGCAGTTCAGGTAACGCCCATTTGCTTTTAGCTGAATTTTAAGTTTATTTCATATTATGCTTATGATGCCTATCTTTATAAAAAAATAAAAATGCAATACTTTGAAGATTTGGAATCCAAAGCATTACTCTAAATACTTCGATGTCAACTATATAAAAATGAGTGTGATAGTTTTATTTTCCATATATCTCAGTACAGAAAATAGATGGAATCTTAAATTTCTTTTAGAACCATGTCTCGTTCAATTTTTCTATAAATGTCCATTATCTTCCTGTTGAAAAACAAGTATCGATGAACGTTTTTCAGATCATATAGTGTAATGCATGAGCTACAATTAGTTTCCACGTATTATTTTTACTGATTTAATTAAAATCGAACTTGCATCTCGGGTTGAAATCCTATAGTCTCCTATTACATTCAGTGATTTAGCTGTAATAAAAATCTACCTGTTGTTAGAAAGTATACTATTGCATCTATGGTTCAGACAACTCATTTGTATTCAACAATAACATAGATCATAATGAAACATGTTCGAAAAATCTTGAACGCCCACTCGAATCTCAATCGAAATGCAGAAGTTCACGCTTATGGATGCGTGCGTATATCCTGAAAAATCAAAAACTAAATGAAAATGACATGCATTCATGCATAGCATAAGATGATCCAGAAAAGTTTTCATTTATGTCTTTTTGAAATAGAAATTAAGAGATATTCGTAGAGAATACAGTAACATATTCTGTTAGTAATAATTCAAGATTGTATGTTTATTGTACTGAGATATCTGAAAAATAATTGTCGCAATCGTGTTGGCATACACAATGTATATATACATTTCATACGTCCGCGCGTGACTTTGTATTGATGGAATAAACACTCGAACCACGGTGCGAGCTTTCTCTGCTAACTAAATATTCATATTCGAATAGGAGGCGGTATCAATTGGCTATTGATTTTGGGTTTATCACTGTTGGGCCTACTGCTCCTTTTATTGTGTTCCTGTTGTCTTCTGTACTGTTTGTATTGGTAAGTATTTTGATTTTTACTATGAGATAAATATAATTTAAATATACATATATCTTCTACTAACCCTAACAAAACAGAGGACAGCAAAAGTTAAGCAATATATACTTCGAAAATACGTAGAGATCTAAAGATCGATTATTATTTTCCAGATCCTATCATTGTGAGCGTACTCACTTCATCAAATTATGACGTTCAGAAGGAAAAAAGACAAGGGAAATCGATGAATAAATTAAAAGTAAATTGACCATTGAAATTCTAAATTCAACACAGGATTCTACAGTATAGATTATATACTGTATAATGTTAGAAAAAAACTCGAGTAAAATTGTTTTTCATGGGAAAATATGTCCAGGATTTTCTATGTTTTTCACCTCTTGAATCTCAGAATCACAATATTGTACCCGAAATTGAAGTCAAAACCGGGCAACATGAGTACGAGCATTTTATAAACCAATGGTTGACCATCGAAAGCATGAATAGAGTTCTGTGACTATAGATTAACAAATTCTCATTTTGTCTAATCATTCATTAAAATTTAGGGATCTAATCAGTTAGCTGAAGTATAATTGTTCTCTTCTTCCAATACTAAAAACATTAGTAATCAAATAGCTTTAAGTCGAACAAAATTGATTTCGTAATAGGAGTCCTGGTGCACGACGTCGACGACGAAGAAAAGCGAACTATGAAACCATAGAGCAACGTAATAATCTCCTATCAAGTTCACATGACATATTAGGAAGATCTCGAAATGTGAAAGAACTTATCCGAAGCGAAAATACAATCAATGATAATGAAGTGATACCTATGTCGGCAACCTCACCGAAAAGTAAAGGTGGTATAACTGTCAGTAAAGTTCATAATGATGAGAAACCAGTAGAAAATGGAAATACCTCAATTAAACCACCAATTAATCAAAATGATAATAGTAGAGTACCCACCGCTCGTTATTCTCAAGTAAAAGTTCATCGAGTCAGTAAAGTAGCAAATCTAAATGAAACAAATGAAAGTCAGAATGTCCCATCACCAACAGCAGATAAATCTTTACCGAACACTAGTCGAGTTACTATCGTGAAAATATCACGAAATAATATGCCAAGAGCTCAAAGTATCGATGCGAACTTGCACAAACTCAGCAGCCAGCAACACTCACACGAAACCTCTCTAGGTATAAGAAATAACGGTACTCAAGTGGCAAATATGGGTGACCGATTGGTGAAGAGAACTGATTTTGATCCACCTTTGAAGCAAAGACCGCGCGCAGCAAGTATTGGTAGTATCAGCGTGCTAAAAGTGAAAAGGCCAGCAGTTCAAGTACGACCGATAAAAAAAAGTCCTCAAACAAACTCATCGACGGCAATTGACAAGATCAATGTAGACAGTCGTATTAGTGTTTCTAAAGTTCCACGAGAGCGATCAAAAACACGAGTTCAACCGACTTAATTGTTCCTCAATAAGTATCATTCAATTAATTTAAAGAAAACAAAATCACAGAAGCTATTCTTGAATAGAGACATTCCCGTGTTTTGTAATCTTTTTTATTTTAACTTGTACCCTTAGAATTTGTCCCGTTCTATTTAATCAAGTGCATTCGTAGCCATCCTTATCTCGAGCAATGTCATACCATATTCTAGAGAAATAAATGCGTATCCTGATCTATCTGGAAACGAGAGTCTTTTGTTAGAATGCAAAGATATGCATGGTTATAATGATCATTCAAATTTCCAGAATTTCCGTCTATAGCTTATATTCAACGATAGACTTTTTCTTGATTACATGATGGTTAACATCGGACACTGTCCATCTTTTTGTTAAATTTTTTCATGCTTATCCGGTAGAAATTTCTCTGCAATTTCAAAAGCTCGATAAAAACAGTCAATGTTCAATGTATACTATTTGCTTGATTGATAAACTAGAGCTAGATTACTGTAATCCAACAACAGATCAGAATGATTCAAAGTCAAATGTCCGAAATCTATTGCGATCACTTGCCAATAGTTCTCGAAAGAACCTTCGATTTTAAATTCAAAACATTGAATAGATGTCAAATTAGACAAGTGATAACAATAGAAAATCGAATCAAATTGTTATTTATTCATAAATTGTAAAATTAAAGCAGATGCATGTTCACAATTTATACGAGCCCGAACCATATCACTTTTCTTCGCATAAATAATACTTAGATTTGCATAGGTTATGATTGAATGTTTGTCATTATCTTTTTTATCTGCGAGCGAACATGGAATATCAATTGTGCGTTGGCGTGGATATGCTTCTGCTTCCAGACATCCCAACATTTGCAACAAAACTCCATGCCCATGTCCTACTCCATAATACAAAATTATCGTGTGTGGCATAGCCGCTTATTGCCCAGGTCGATAATTCCGGACTCAGTAACTGACCGGAAATGGACCGGAAAACTATCCGGAAGGTGGAAGCAGTATTCCGTTTGGAAATCATCGTATTGTAACCTGGGTGTTCTGTAGTGTTCCCGCAACTGTAACCATTGGGAAAAATTCCCAGAACCGATCCGTGATCATCAGAAATACGAACAGAACACGCAATGGAACTAACGAAATCCAATCGGTTCCAGCTAGGAAAATTTCCGAAGTTCAAATCTTCCTGAGATCTTTCGGCTGAACAAAACGGTGATTGAATAACGTACACACGGAACCGGACCATTTTTGTGACCATTTCTAATTGTGACTCTTTTCAATAATCAAATCGCCAACATTATAACCTGCTACAAATAGATACAATACTTTATAGTTTAGTGTACATTGCCCAAGATCTTTCACCTAAAACCCATCGAGAAAGAATTTCAATTGCCTGAAGTAAAAGGTATAAGAGGAGAAGAAATAAAAAATACGCTGAATTTTACGAACTTTTTTTTAGCAGGTGTTTGTATAGGATTGATGAGACTGTTTTAAAATGTTTGTTTTGTCAGTGTGCTCATGTGGTGAACTGCTACGTGAGCATGTAATTAGTTGAAATACACATCGATTATTCGATCGAAGATCTATCACCGATGTTTCTTAGAAGGACATCACAAATACTTCAGTCTTTCGGTGTCTATGTATGCGATCATATGTATTTTTCGATTTCGATTTCGATTTCGAGTCAGTTAGAAAGAGGATATATTAGTGTTTAGCAATAAATATATGATCCTTGTTTGTTTGCGAAAGGACGTAGATAAACGCGCAAGTTGAACCCTCATTACCGTCCATGTTCTGAATTGCGAAGTGGGTGAAGAGTTTTTACTTCACTTTTAGTTATGAATTGGGAAAGATGTTTGTCTACAGCAGTACGTCTTATAAAACTATTTTAATTTTTTCAAATAAGAGTCCAATTTCCTAATTAGTGAGCCATGTATATGAGCGTAGCAGTCCGCGGTCAACGAATACTAAATAGTAAGACAGCAATTTAAAATGCTACGCAAGAAAGCGGATTTTCGTTTATCTTGCTTATCTGTTATAGAATGATTTTATAAGCTCTGACTGAGACACAAAGAGGACAGGGTGTAGGTCTGGGTGTTGGGGTTGGATGTTGGTCAGGGTGTGGTTGTGACTCGCCTATTCACTGAAATCAGGCCCTACACCCTAGAACTACCCACACCCACATCCATCAAGAGTGAAGTATGAGAGCGTGTGGTACGTGGCTGTGACCCTCGCTGTGACTGTTCATATTGCCTTCAATCACACTCACAGCCTGTAATAGTCAAAATAAGGTCAATGTAATGGTTTTTACCGTTACCGATCACTTCATGTGCACATCCTCCTCGCTGTATCCGTATTTTCATGCATTGAACTGATGAACTCTCATTGTTCTATTGCGTGACCGTTTGCTCTTTGTCTGTATCTGCCCAAGCGTGATCACTCTCTCGTACATAAGGGAATGTAACTAAAAGAAATGCACGACTAGAGATGTGCAGATAACACAATACACCATCATGCCGATGGGCATACACTGAAAACATAAATGGTACCACGCCGAACCAAAAGGGTTTCGGTTTCGTTTCAATTCTCTGAACCCTTTTAGGTTTCGTAGATAAAACAAGAGCACTTGAAAAAGTATTTTAAGTCTATGGCAATTATTTTCAGGTAACCGAAGTTTTTACGAACCCTTTTGAGGGTTCCGTATTCATCTTAAAAAGGGTTTGGTAATCATATCATTTTTTTTCTAGTACACCGAACCATTTTCGAAATTAATACGGAACCCTCAAAAGGTTTCGTAAAAACTTCGGTTACCTGAAAATAATTGCCATAGACTTAAAATACGTTTTCAAGTGCTCTTGTTTTATCTACGAAACCTAAAAGGGTTCAGAGAATTGAAACGAAACCGAAACCCTTTAAGGTTCCGTACTAAATACGAAACCATTTTTTAGTCCACCAAACCCTTTTGGGTTCGGTGTGGTACCATTTTTGTTTTCAGTGTAGGCGACACTCTCTATGTCCGTTACAGTTAGTCGATGCAGAATTTTATTTTACAGAAAAACTGCAAAAATAAGTTGTTTCCAAATCGTAGTTACTCTTGATACATTGTGTAGTTACATCAACTTTCGCTGTTGTTAAATAATTCAAATTTATATCTAATTCTAAAATCGTGCATTTTCACTAGTGTTATTTCACCCACCAGAAATCGCGGAAAGCTAAATTTTCAATATATAATGTCTAGATATTTAGAATATGATTAGTGTGCATGTTACCACTTCCCTTGCTATTATTATAGATGTCGTAGCAATGTGTGTATGGCGCCCATGTTGCTCAAACCGATCGAAAACCACCGGTTAACCGCAGTTCATTTTTATAAAAATCGGTTAGCCGAGGTTATGCAAGCCATTTTAGTGACTTAACAGCGTAAAAAACAACGGTTAACCGTAATTGAGCACCCAGTTGATCGGATAGATAACTAGTTAGTTGAGGGCGAACCGACTGTTTGTCCGGTTAACCGTCGGTTTTTACACTGTAAAGTCGCTAAAATGGCTTGCATAATCGCGGTTTACCGATTTTTCTCGATGGGTTTGTGCGACATGAGTGGATTTTTATATAAAAAGTGTGAAACAGATCACGAAATGGACCTGTAATTAGTTTACTTGTACTGGTCCGATCTCTGAGAGGTGGCATCAATCTGGATTGTCCAGGACTGGTGTGAAATTCGTCCCAATACTGGTTCCATCTCTGTCGTATCCTATCCACACATTATATTCACACCCTTCTCCTTAGAAAACATCAGTATTTCGCTCGCTCTTTCTACTTAAAAGGTTTTTTTTTATAGTTTTTGTTGAGTGTTACTCTACATAGAAAATGAAGCTGAGAAAATTTTTACAAAAAACGAAACGAAAATTGAAAGAAGAAAGAAGAAAAATAACAATAGTGTAGAGTGTTACTATGTTGCACATATAAAAACAAAGAGTCATTCGACAACCGAGCGACTTGTTTCACATACATACCACTCAAAGTTGGAAATTGATTTTGACTGGTACACTATTGGTATGTATTAGGGGTGATAAATTCACCCTTCTCTTTATTGAGAAAAACGATAACTGACTATCTTAACAATAAACAAAAAGGATAAAACAAACAATACACAACGCATACACCTCTCCTCCTTCGAGAAGACAACACCGATAGGGTGTGGTGCGTGACTAGATGAAAGAAAGATAAGATTATAACATGTGAGGGTAGGCCCGTAACAGTATGGATAGCGTTCATTGTACCGGTTTCATAAGAGCAGTCATCCTATTCCGCAATGTTGAACATTCCGGAAGCAGCTCCGCTCCCGTAATCAGTTCCGTCAATTCTGTAACTAAGTCAAGCCTGAACACTGTGTGATTCCGGAATTCAGTCCAATTCCGGAATTAGGTGAAAGCGGAATCACTGGAACTTCCTAGGAATTACACGGAATTCCATCCAATTCCGGAATTCCAACTTGTATCACTATTCTATCATCGCACACCCATCTAGTGATGATCCGACTTCAGTCCGGAATTAAATGAAAGCGATTCGTGTTCGACTGAATTCCCGGAATCCCATAAAGGAATTGCAGGGTGTGGGTGTCAGTGTGGATGTCAGTGCGGATGCACTGAATTCCGGAATTGTGTTGGAAGTTATAAGCGGAATCGCCTGAATTATATGGAATTGGTTCCGTGAGCGGAACTGGTTTTAGAATGTTCAACATTGCGGAATAGGATGTAATCTCTTTCATAAATAGGTTTTTAAGACGATTCATAGAATCAAAGTAGTTATAAAATAGAAGTTTTATTCAGAGATAAAGGGGGCAGAAATGTAGCCGATTCTCATGATAAATTTCTATTAGTTTGATCAGCTAATCATTTTGTTGCCGTTAGGCGCTTCTCAGATTTCTTTGTCTGTAATAGTAGCCTTTATAATCATGACCTTCAGTTGCGTAACATATCACTCTCAAACTATCAATTTAGTGTCACCTGCACTATGATAGTATAAAACAATACATGGTATATTATCCTCTTTCTCAAAAGCGGTCGTCAACATGAATATGCTACTTATAACAATTATAGAGCTAAAAAGCTTTCGAGCATAAAACTTCAGACCTACGATACGACTACTGAGTGTAGGTCAACGCGAATTTTCTCTAAATACACATGCAAACACCCAATCATTACCATCCACACATAAATAACGATACAGAAAAACATAAACATCATACTACCGCAATTTAGAGGCGAGCACTGGGAATAAGAGCCCTGTTGACTTGAGTTTTTTACTTCCGAAACATTTTCAGTTAAAAACGGACTTCGACTCGGAAAATTTTGTTTTCATCAGCATTTACAGGAGCTCAACCAATTTTTCATGCTGATTTCATCTAAATCGTATCCTATGATGGTGCATGGTATAGTGAATCCACCATGTTAAGTGGCTATACCAAATTGATTCTAATAAGAATACCAAGATAATCAATTGCTTACAACATTTTCAAAATCTAGGATTTCTAGAAAAAATAGAACAGTATTTTCAGCCTCCAGAGCACACACGAAAAGTTTGTTCTGAATTAATAGCGCAAAACAAGAACTCAATGTCTCCAGAGTCCTATAGAGTACAAACCTGTGACTTCCAAAATTTTCTCTCGCGCAGCTCAAGATCCAGAAATCACTAGCGGTGACTTCGACTGAGAAAAAATTTCGGTTAATCCCTTCGCCTTCAATGAAGTTGGGTTTCAGATCACCATGCAGGGCTCTAATAAAAATCCAAAAATGAATTAGAGCTCAAACCCAAACACCAGAGATAAAGCCAATCTGGATTTTTGACGACCGGTATCGGTACTAGATATGTACTAGTTCCAATCGCTACTGGGTATCAATTATTACTAGAGGTCAAATCATTACGACTGAATATACTGCCGTCCCATTCCTGACAAGTCAACTTGCACTCAGTCTGATTGAATGGGGTCCACTAGTCAGGAATAGGATGGCAACACACGCAGCCATGTTAATTTTATATTTGGAAATAGTTGATACCCATTCTGACTGTATAGGTGCACCTCTCGTCGGTACTGGTCTGATTGGCCTACTGGCTACCAGGAGTTCTATTGGTATCGAATAGTCAATTTTAGAACTGGTCAATCGATCATTTACTCGTTTATACAAAAAAAACTCTATACAGAAACTATTTTAAATCTTTCCAAGCAAAATACTCGAATATTTATATATAATAAACAAAGGAAAGGAGAAAGATAGGAAAATTACCCGTCGGTCTGAAATCCCTGTTACCAAACACCTCCACTCTAATGTCGGTATACTCAGATAATTGCACCTTAATATCAATATTTCCAGACACCCACAACTAAAAAACGCGCACAAAGAATCGTAACCTAGAAAACAGAGCTCAACTCTCAAATATTGATAGATTGAAACATCCACACCCTCTATCACGCTAGCTAATGGCACGACCAGGTTATTAGGGGAAAAAATTAAAAAAAGACTTCATTTTTCTCTAGTGGTGTGCAAAGAGAAAGAACTGATAACGTGCTCTTTTATATAGGGGAGCTAAAGTTGAAATATTTTTCAATTACTTCAGATTCGTAATAATCTTATTGTCATCAATATTTAACTCCATTTGAAATGTCTGTCACAAGTCGTTTTGTTGCTATCGATGCTTCGCTCAAAAACGTCTCACCTATTCATGGCTATGAAAGTGAAAGTCTTGTGTCAATCGAAGAAGCGCTTAAAGATGTCGAGTCTTTAATCAATGACTTACCTTCTCGTATAAAGGTGGCTAGAGAAAAATGCCATTTTCCATCGGAACATGGATTAACGCAGGACGAATCAGCTTCTATCTATATTTATACAATGGAATGGGGTAACTCTTCTTTGTATCGTGTATTAAATAAAGCATTAAGATCTAAAAAGCGGCAAGCATTAAAGACGTGGTTTCCATATTTAAAACTATTTGATGTAGCGCTGAATAAGCTACCTGGTGCAAAAGAAGTTGTATGGAGAGGTGTGCCTCTGGATATTGGGAAAGATTTCATCAAAAACCAAACGCTGACGTGGTGGAGCATCAATTCATGCTCGTCTTCAGTTGATGTTATTAAAGGTTTTCTCGGTGTGGATAAAAAGTCCACTCTTTTTCTTATTGAAACCTGCAATGGAAGAAAAATATCTGGATATACAGCACATGCAGATGAAGATGAAATGATTTTACCTATAGGCTCAAAATTTCGTGTGAAGAGTAATTCTTTAGATCAGTCTTACGGTTCACACGTCGTACATTTGATTGAAATTGATGCTAAGATTGATCAATCCGGAGCATTGGTTATGAATCAAATGAAATCGAATGCCATACCTCCATGTAAAAATTCCTTGGGTGAGTCATTCATACTTATGTTCCATGAAACAACTGGGCATTGGTTGTCAGTTTGGATTATAAAAGTTCCTAGATCAAAGTTTAGATTAGATCCGGAGAATTGTTCAAACAATTTTCATGATCTGATCGAACAGTTCGTCAGATCCATATCTGCGCAAGTAAGGGTACAACTTGTACTGGAAAATTTACATAGAGGCTGGAAGCTCCACTACTAACGCAGAGGATACATTTGTACCCCCATGCACTCAGTTGTATTCGGTTGTACTACCCCCCTCTTCCCCCCAAAAGCCTAGAATTGATGTACTCACATGTACTGGCATGTACTCGGTTGTACGACCCTCCTCTTCCCCCCCCCCCAAAGCCTAAAATTCATGTACTCGCATGTANCTCCACTGTACTGGCATGTCCTCGGTGGCACGACCCCCCGCGCCCCCCCCCCAAAGCCTAAAATTCATGTACTCGCATGTACTCACCTGTATTCGGTTGTACGTTTTTGGGGGGAAGAGGCATATATGTCGAACTTGAAACTTGAATTCAACTTTCGACTTTCAAGTTTCAACCTTCAAGGGTGTGGGTGCCAGGGAAGGGAGATACGGTTGTCTACACACACACATGTACCAAAGACTCGGCAGTAGTGTCAGAGCAATAACGTGAAACCTGAAAGTTGAAGGTTGAAAACTGAAGTTTCAAGTTCTAAATTTGAAAGATGAAGTTTCAGTTGAATTCAACTTTTCCCTAGACGGAAAGGATAGGGTCTGGAAACGGTAATTCACCTGTGTCTGTCTGTCTGTCTGTAACAAACTCCAAAGTAACCATTTCCGTGGCACAAACGACCATTTCCATTGCACAAATGACCGTTTCTATGGCACAAAGGACCATTTTTGTGGCACAAATGACCAATTCCATGGCACAATTGACCATTTCCATGGCACAATTGACCAATTCTATGGCATAATTGACCATTCCTGTGGCACAAATAGCCATTTCCATAGCGCGTATCATTGATGAATCCGCTGAGGCACTACACCGAATAGTTATTTCTAATGATGAAGCAAGCGAAGGGGGCAGCCGGCGTTCCTACAAGGAATTTTGATGCCTCTATCGCTACAAGTAACGTTCATCGACATCGAAAGTCGATTCACTGGGCCCTAGACTGACAGTGCTGAGCAGAAGAAATGCATGGACAGGACATAAAATCGGTTGTTTGTGCCATGTGAATGGTCATTCGTGCCATAGTAATGGTCGTTTGTGCCATAGAAATGGTCATTTGTGCCACAGGAATGGTCAATTGTGCCACAGAAGTGGTCATTTGTGCCATGGAAATGGTCAATTGTGCCATTGTTACAGACAGACACAGGTGAATTACGGTTTCTAGACCCTATCCTTTCAGTCTAGGGAAAATTTTCGAATGGTGTGATCCAGTTGCTAAGTGAAACTCAACCTCGTTCCCATGTGAAAAATATTTAAGCCCTCTAACGAAAACTGTTAACGGTGTATTCTATTAGTGATGAGGCTGAGAGGTCCCCTCCGACTATCAGAAGAAAAATCTTGGTTCAGCCACTGTTTCGCACACGTATTTCACGCTTATGCTGGCTGTGCTTTTCTATTCATTGTTCTTGGAAATTTTTCATTTTTGTCTGATCGGTACCGAACTTTCACTTATTCGCCCTTTGTCGTCCTTGTTTCGGTTGAACTTATCCAGTCATATTTTTGGAAATTTCAAGATCTGTGGTTGAAACAGCAGACGAAGTGGGCTGTTCATATATTTGCATGTGTGAGTTCTGTCAGTCTAGGGCCTAGTGAATCGACTTTCGATTCACGTTACTTGTCAAGTTCGACACTACTGTGAAGAGGGGGTAGTATAAGCGAATACATGCGAGTACAAGAATTCTAGAATTCTAGTTTTTTGGGCAGTAATAGGTGGTAGTAGATGCTTGTACAAGTTGTACCCGTACTTGCGCACCCTTCCTTTTCTCCCCATACTAAGCACAAGTGTCATCGGGTTTTTTCCAAAAAGCGGACTTCGGGATAGTCTATATTATGATTGGCCATTAGGAGAACTTTTAATAAAATCTGAGGCGAAATATTACTTTAGATTTAAACATTTGTGTTCACTTACCGAAACATATGTCACAGTTGACATGAGAATTTCAGTTGAGATTGGAATGCGCGAAAAAGATAATTAATCGAATATTTTTTTTTCTGCTCGTGATAATAGATTATAGAAAACAGAAAAGAAAAGAAATATTTCTTAGTTAAATTCAATGTCCCCATGTCCCCATAGTTTAGAAATTCTAGACAGAGTTTAATTATTTAAAGACTCATTGTAAAATGATGCAAGGAATAATATTTTGAATATAAAAATTTCTAAGTCAGATCTCAACAAAAAATCTATTGAAAAAATTTAGAAAAAAAACTATTCCAAACTCGCCTGCCACACATATATGGTGAAAGTCAATGCAAATAACTAGAAAGACACTGTTACCTTATTCGATTAATATAAAGATTTCTTTGTTTTCGATTTAGATGCTACGGAAATTTTTATGAGTCTCCGAATGGACGATGTGCTGGAATGCGCAATGAGTATCCTTCACACAGATTCTAAGTTGAAAGGTCTTATCGAAAAAGAACTCCAAAAATTGGCTGTTGGTGACACCGGTGAGCTATTTGCGATTTTTTATGGCTCAAGTATGATTGCTAATGCTAAAATTGATAAGCCTGATGAAAAAGAAATTTTATACTTGCTACTAAATTATTTATTGTCAAAAATCGAAAATGAAGGAGAAACAGATGAAACAACAAAACTTTTCTCGTTTTCGGACGAGCAAAAGAATAAAATGAAGAGTATATTTCAACTACTAAAGCAATGGCTTGTGGATCTGATAATAGTAAAATCGATTAAAAAATCCTCAGAACAAATTCAAGAAATAAAGAGTTATGCCACATCATTACAAAAAAGACTTCAAAATCTACAAGGCATCTGTATTTTACCAAGTGGTTTTGCAAAAGTTACTTGGAATACGTCTAATTTTTCGAATTTTCTCATGTTAGAATCAGAATATACTGGTCCACATTCCACGGCCTCGATTATTGAATTTAAAAGTAAAAAATATAAACATTTAACTCAGATAGATCCGATAAGTCTTTATGATAGATCATTTCGCGAACTTACAGCAGATAAAATAAGTTTGGGATTAGAAATCAAGAAGATCCCACCAGAGAACTTTGATGATAATTTTTTTTTACTTCTGATGACACTTAGAATTATAGCAGCTAGCGAGAGTTACGAATCTTCATACCTTTACGAGATTGTTTTATCGAAGCTTGGTGGTAAAGGACACATCAACAATGAAAAGGAATTCTTCGTCAATCTAGAAGAAAAAGGGTTTTTTAGTTTATCGTGGACGCTTGTAAAGAATGTTTTTTATTATTTATTGAAAAAACTCTTTCACTCTCAAGAAGCGTCTTCTTTATATGCTAAAATAATCTGTGAATTTCAATTCAAATTGCTGATAAGTGGGTTTGACAAATATGTAAAGTTAGAAACTAATGACAGATTAAATCGTTTAAAGTATCAATTCTTACTTCATGAAATGTGTAAAAAAAGTAGCATATGATGTTGCAAATTGTTTGACGAAGAAAACGAAAGTGGTTATTGACTACATAGTTCGTGCTCAGGAGCGCATCGCTTGCGATAATAAAAAGTTCAGCGTAGAAAAATGTAAGGAAAACATTATTGAAAAAACGACATTTCGGCATACTAATTTTCAAAGCTTCCTACACGAAGATTTGCAAGGATTAAAGCTTATTCAAAGTCATATCACTAGTAGTCTCGGTTCTTCTTCAAGTAATGCGATACGAAAACAAATCTCTTTGGACACAATTAGTTTTGGAAAAGATATAAGTAACACAGAACTAATTCAGTTTAGTGAAATGTTGGATGAAATTACTAAATATTACGGATTTAATCGAGTAATTCAAATTTCTCAGTTAATAGAACATTTTGTATTTTCGATTGCACAACATAATGGATTCAGAAATTGGTATAGTAATGAGAAATATGATCCCGAATCAACTCTGATTTTAATTCGTGTCGCACTTCTGTATTATAACTGCTCAGCTATCATTACATCTGAATTATTTCCGGATGAAAAGTTTTCGTATGAGCCAACTTACTATACAAAATTAGTTCTAGTCTTATTCGGACTTCTAGCAATGGTGGACGATCTAGTCAGAAATGATAAAACAGTTGGTTCTAGCCTGACAAATTATACACTAAGCACTGAATTATGGAATATTTCTTTGAAATCAGTCCTTCCACAAATAGCTTTACCAGAGAGAAAATGGTTTTGCCTATTAAATAATATTAAAGTGTACTTCAATTTATCAGCTACTAATACTGAAAAAAGTATTGTGCCAGGAAAATTCCTTTTTCACTATTCGTCACTCTCAATGGAAAATGACTCCGATAAAAATAATATAGATGTGATTTTTATGCTAAATGTTTTGAAAAATAATTTCACAGGCAATTACAAGAAATTTGAAGAAACTTTCAAAGAAGTTAAAGTAGATGAATTGAAAAATAAATGGCAAGAACTCTTATTTTCTGATAAGTATATACCGGAGTCGTTAAGACATTTGAGAGATATTACATATTTGTCTCAATTGTCCTTGTTTGGCTTTTCTGTACGAGCCATAAAGAAAATAAAATCTCCAGAGATCACATCTAGGGACACATATCGTCGTTTCAAATTTAGTTGTAGCGCATCTCCTTCAATTTCCGCTTTAGAAATTGACATGAAGGGTTCCGCAGATAAATGGAGATTTGTTGATTTTACATTACCTAAAAATCGAAACAAATATCAAAGACTGATTGCATCCGACTTTGACCAAAAAAACAATATTAGTATGAGTGAAAATGAAATAATTGGTACTCAGAGCGAAAAACCAGACAACTTGAGTAGACCCCAATATTATCGTTTAAATTCTATACAACTATACGATGATCTAAAATTTACATTGATCTATATTGCATTGAAAAACGATGAGATTAACTTCGAAACGGAAGAGCATTGCTATTTAGTTAAGCAAGTATTGCATAAAGTAGGGATATGTGAAGAGCGTTGTTTATTAGAAAAACAATTTCAGAACGAAAACTTTGCTACTGTATTAGTTAAAAAATTTATTGAAATAGTTTTAGATTTACAGGAAAGAATTGTACAGTATAAATCGATAGGTCATGCATTAGATATACTAATATATTTGTATGCTTTTTGCTCTGATAATGCTAAGCAGTTGATTGACAGATGCCTAGAAGGTCTTCGTGTCGCAGTGCTGAAGTATATCAATGAGAAAACCATGACATCAAATATCAAGAATAGGCAAGATGTAGAATCTATCTTGAGCTGTTATTACATTTTAACATTCAAAAACTCAGTGATGATCGATGAAAAACAAGTCTCGCAAATTCTTAAACTGAGAATATTGATAGATAATAATTCCAAACTGTACGGCTTCATACCGGCAAGCTTGTACACAAAAACAATGATAAGTCTTTTTGAGCTGAGTTCAAAAATTGAAAGTGTTATCGATAAAAATTTAAGCATGCTAGATGGTTACGTTTCGAGTTCGCATGGCTCATGGAAAAAAGATGCAAGCATGAATTTTTATGTTAAAGATAGTTATTCTTTTCTGCATTTGAAGGGTCGTTTATTTCATAACGGCCATCCTTTAGTATGTTTCCCCGATCAAATTTTTAATAATTCACAGTATAAAGAATGTTTTGGAATACAAAATTTTCTAGTAGAAGGTGTCGATAGAAATGTTTTCGGACAAATATTGCGCTGTTATGAAACAAAAAGGAAAGAATCTGAAAATTTTCGAATTACTTGCCTTGGCGGCAATAATATTTGGATTGAAAATAAGAACGAAACATTTGTACCAAAAACTTATTTAAGCAAATTGCCAAGATTCTTGCTACAAAACTCTACGCACTTCGATAATGACCAAACAGTTTATTATAGTCATTGGTGGAACGAGAATAAAATATATATTAGAAATCACGATAAAAAAATTTTAAAAGACGAAAATAAAAATGCGGAATTCACAATAGACTTGAAGACTAATGAAATTTATTCTAATGAGCATAAAAAATATCTTATTCCTTTTGTTAAAGATGGATTTGATCAGTCAAATGTGTTATATTCGATATTTTCTCGATTTGAAGACCAAAATTATATATTAGCCTTAAAAGATCGTGAACAAGATAGTGAACCAGTCATGATTTTTCTATCTAGACTAAACTTAAAATTCAAACTTTCAGGCACAAAAGTCATATCTGAAGATTTTAAAGATTATTGTTTAAGTCCAGATCAACACATTGATACATTATTTGGATTATCACAATATTTAGTATTAGAGCCAGACATTCAACATAAGTTTCCAATTAGATTCAATAGAAAAATAATTATAGCGTATCATCCAATTGAAAAAAAACCATTCTACTCTAATATAATTCAGTTTAATTTGAATAAAGTTGGAAAGCCAGCATATTTTTCATATGAAATCGCATACAATGGGGTATATGATTTCAATCTGAATTGTGCACAAAAAAATGACCCATCATTTCAAAAAGAAATGGGGGTCTAGGGGGTCTTCAATGAATTCAGTTGAATTCTGAATTCTGAATTCTGAATTCATATATGTGTATATAGGTATGTTTTTTTCAGGACGGGGGTCTTTGATGATTCAGTTGAATTCTGAATTCTGAATTCATATATGTGTATAGGTATGTTTTTTTCAGGATGGGGGTCTTTGGGGGTCTTTGATGAATTCTGAATTCTGAATTCATATATGGGTATGTCCCCCCTACGTGTATTTTTCTGTCTGGACGTGGGGTCTGTGTGGTCTTCATTGAATTCGGTTGAGCCGATTATTGTCATCGGGGAATGCAGTGTTTGATTGCGGATGATAATGGGAGTTGAGAATTGACGAGGAATAGTTGGTTGTAGTCGTACGGTGGCGACTTTTTTGGGATAGGAATGCTCTCGTGCTGGATGAATTCTATTTGGAGTTTGATTGGTTGATCGGAATCAATATTAGTGAATTGATTTATCATCGGTGGTTAATTTCAATAATTATTTATCGGTACGAAAAATGAGATGGAAAGAGACATGAATCGTTGCTGGTTCACTTTTCTATGTATTCATTCTGGGTTTTTATAGCCACTGATGTCTGAGTGTGGTAATAGAAATAGGTGTTGATATCATGTGATATATTGATGAATTACGTGCTTTTTGATGCTGGAGCTGACATGGGTATGATAAAAGTTTGTGTTTGAGAATTACTAATTCTTATTGTTTATTTTTTTGTTTCAGGTTTGGTTATAGTTTGAAAATATTTCAACTGTTGATCTTCATGTCACCGTTGCTTCTGTGGGTGTGGTTGTCAATTGATGAGTGACATATCAGAACAGAGTCATCATAAAATTGCTTTGCTGAGGCACAGGTGTTGTCGTTTGTATGAAACATTTGTCCTGCAATGATATATTTTGACAGTGATCGTTTTTAATAGTTTGGATTTATTATATTAATCATTCGAGTTGATGTTGTGAAGTGCTATTAGTTAGTTGATGTATCATACGCTTCAGACGTCTAATATTTATTAGTGCGATCATATTATGTAATTTTAATGAGGTTTAGCTTTCCATTTTTGGGTTACGTGTAATCTCGATTGAGTTGCAAGAATCAGTTGAAATTCACTTGGAAGAACGTGTGCACATTCTTTTAGGATAGACATGATCTACTTTAACAAACACTCGAGTTTTTATAGATAGGTGTATGACACATAGTGTGTCTACAGAGAGTATTGAAACATACGAAGTGTGAATTTAGTAATGGAAAAGAAATGAAATCCGGTAGCTATATTTTTGTTTTAGAAATACAACTAACTTTCTGCTTCTGTCAATAAATGAAAAAAAAATAGTAAACGTAGTAGAATGAACGTCTTAAAATAGTTTTGTCTATGATTAGCTATTTCATTAATTTTGCTCAGACATCGAGCATGTTTTACGAAGTAGCTTTTGAATGGTTGTGATGATTGTGTTAACTTCTTTAGAGTAAATATGAATGCATGTGTAGTATTACAGTAAAAAGTTTAATTGTATAGCCAGCTGTCTACAATTTGACAACAAACAAAATATAGGTTAAAAGTAAAATATGATTGAAAAATCACTCTGCAGTTTCAAGAAGTATTATCATTCATTTCTAAGAATTTTGCTATAAAAAACTACTGAGCTAAAGCAGCTGGTGTTTTATTTGTCGTATTTATTCATAATCTTTTATTCTGAGCGCTCTTCTTTATGAACTTGAAGTAGACATTTAGATTAATGCATCGATGTTTGTTGTATGCTTTCAGTGTATTTAATATTCAATCTAATATGAGATATTGTACTGGAAAAGCTAATAAAATAATATAAAAAAGTATGACTCTCGAAAAAGTATGTTCTTAAATAATTTATATACGTTTAGTCGAATCAATTATATTTACGAAAAATTCGATAATTATTCTAAATTTTCAACAGAATACAGCAAATAATCGTAAATGGAATGAATCAATTGCTCATTTGTTTTTCTTTTCGATTTGACAACTCTTGTTACGTTTGAATCAATTTTTAGAATGCTATAAGAAAACTTATTTTAACTACTATAAATGAAGATGTTTAATATTGAGCTAAAACAAGAAAGATAGCTAATGTCGTCATTGAATATTATTTGAGTGCATTAAATAACTGGTTGACCTTAACTTATGTTCTCTATTACAATGAAATGTTTTTTAGATACGCTACGCAGACGGACGTGTCTTTGTCCTCATTCTCCGTGGCGTATATGAAAAAGAGAGGGAGAGTGATAATTTGTTTAGTATTCATGGATTTGTTTAAAGTGAAACGATTGGACTAAATTAATTAGTTTTGATGAATAGTCCGTCCGTTGCTTAACCTATGCGTATATATTCGTAGCTGATAAGTTATCTCTTGCAGTCACATACTTTTAAGATTTTTTATTTTAGTGTTATTAAAAACGAACTATTCACAACATATCTGAAGTCTTTTTAAAGTAATTTTCATCATGAGCACAATAGTTATGGTCAGGGAAGGTTTGGTTTTTCTATTAGTTTCTTACTAAATGTATAGCTCCTACTTGTGAAATTTAAATGAATACATACAGTTTGTATACTATAATATTTCCTCATTTCACTCAAATAGAGTGGTGCATTTAAAATTCTTCTAGATTATACTGATGGGTAAGAAATTGTTTATTGATGTATTAACGCGTGATAGTGGAAAACATCATCTATTTTTTTTCTAACGTTTAAAAAACACTTATTAATTTTTCTTTTTTTTTCTAGATTTTTGTCTAGTGCTGCGATTTTTACTTGACAAACGCACTTAACTATGGTTAATAATCAGGGACCAACACCCAAGGATTATGCATTATTACTCGATGCTAATTTTGATACATTGAATAATCGACCACCATTTGATGCTAGCTTATTATTGGACAAAAATCTAGATTGGTTTCTAATCGAATATATTAACGAAATGGAGCTACTGGGTCTTTCTAATGAACAAACGCTGAATGCACTTCTTACGATGATTGGAGGCTTATCTAATAACAGTTATTGTCGAAATTTGCTGACCGGTTCAGTAGTTTGGCTCAATGTTTTTTCACACGTTCTTGGCAATACTGGTAAATATAGATCTTTTGCTGTTTAAATTTGCAGATATAAAATTAAGGTTCCTAGCGGATTCAAGTCTCTAGTGATTTAATCTTTATAGTAACACAAGAGATATATTTTTCGTTCTTAGCGACAATTTTCTCGTAGTTAATTAAAGAATATGTATAGTCACGTATTGTTTCTTTTAGGAGCATGTCTTCATGTAGAATTTTGCTTTTCTTTTAATTAATTTTACTTCACAACTGTTTTTTTTACAAACACTGCGAAAAATTGTTAGAAAATAGAAATTTATTTGATATTAGTCGATGACTCATAAGCCAAACAAAACTTTAAGTTGAAATGTTAGTTTAAGAATGATTCAATTTACTGGTGATTGTCGATAGAGATGCTTAATCTTCTCAGTTATTAATATGAAATATATGTTGCAATGATATCAAATAGACTTTTTCTCATATGCTTCAGGAATTTTTTCAATAAATGACAGTTCATATTGGGTTCTTTATTGTAGAAAAACTAGTTATGACTTGATCGTTATCGCTCTAAGAAATGCATTAAGTTTTCGCTTTGTTAATTATTTTTATTATACTTTTGCTTATTGCTACATTATTAGCAAAAATTATAGTATGTGATTTTAAAGTAATTTTACTATAGAAGAAAGAGCAAGTTATTATTTTGTTTATTATTTATTGTAATGACTATATGCTTTACACTAAGTAGTGAATTATCATCAACCGAAAATCATTATGAAAACGTACTTAGCGCTGCTCTTCATATGAGAACATGAGTATAATACACCAATAAATGTTAAAAAGTCTCTGAAGCAGTATTAAGAAAAAGGGTTTTTTTCTTAAGACTTGCCGAATTGAAAAAATAATAACATTCTAATTTGTACATATTGATAAATAAAGTATTAATAGTTCAATACATGATAGACAATTTTCTTCTTTATTATTTAGGCAGTAACAAAAGTTATTTTGCAAATGAAATTATGCATTCGTTAAAAACACTTGATGATAAATATCCAAGCATTTATTCCAATCGTCGATTCGTAAATGATAGTGATGATGCTGAAGAACAACCAAAAAAGAAACAAAAAACTGAACAATGGAGCTTTTCAGCAAGCACTATCACTGAAGCTGCTTTGTCAAAAAACTCCAATTATACTGATGTCATGATAGTTAATCCAGATGGTGACAATGCTTTGAAACTTTTATCCTATTATGAACAAAACAGCAGTAATAGTGCACAAGGTGTAAGTTGTTTTTGTAATGGATTCGATGGTATTGAACCTGGTAGCAGTCGTGTCACTGGTGTTGAATCTTCAAGAAATGATCGCCATCGTTCATCAAAGCTTTCTATGTATGTAGTCAGCACCGGAAAAAAATTATCGATTCCAAATATGAAAATGGTGGAAGAAGGAGCAAACGACGGTGTTTATGGGAGAGTATGGTATACTCATACTGGCACAGTCCGTGAATTGCCTGATGTTCTATTACAAAAACAAGTATCGTTACCCAATTTTACTCACATTGCGTTATGTTGCCATAACTTTTTTCAAAACCGAATCATTGAATTTCGTTATGGTCTATTTCGTTCTGATTTCAATTACCAACAACGAAGTAAGTTGAATTTTTAGATTGTTGAGTTTTCTCTACCAGATGAGTTATGAGTATATAAGTAAATCAATTGGAAAAAAATTAAAAGAAAACTAATTTCTCAGAGTTATTTTATATCGTTTTGTTCGTATCAATAAAGTATTTCTAACCAATATGATAGACTGAAATTTCACATTTTCGAAATGACAACAAATTAGTATAACAATGATTTATTCATTTTTAGATAATATTAGTGATCGAATGCAACATGCTCGACGACAACAAAATGTTAATTTACCAGAATTCTATGGTATTTCAATGGATGAACATGACATCATATCACAGCAACCTCCTGTTGGTGATTATCAGAAAGATGATTCATTAGAAGATTTTTCTCCTTTTAATTTGGCAACTCGTTATACTAATGAAATATGGAATGAATCATTCACTCTGGAAAAACATATCGGTCAGATGTGGCGAAAAATATCTTACCATTTACCGAAAGCCATATGTACAATAAAAACTCTTCGACTTTTATTTCGAATTATGGGTGATAAGATGCTATTCTATATTAATTCTCAAGAAGGAAATCGCTCATATCAATCGAAATTAATTCCGGATATATTCGACCAAAGATTAAGTCAATCATTAAATGAATATTTCGAACAATGCACACGAACGATTGAAGTAGAAAAAAATAAAACAGTTATTTTACTTACGACAGATGATGTTGAAGCTGGTTATGTATGGTGTCGATGGAAACTTGAAACGACTTCTTTTTTATTTTCAACAAGTCAAATTCAACTTATTGTTAATTCAAGAACGAGCAAACCTCCCAAACCAGATCTATTCGTAACAAAGTAAGGCATATCATTTCACAGTACTTTTACTGAGAATATCTAGTCATGGTTTCGAATTCTGATAAACAGCTCCCATAAGAATAGATGAAGAGCTGAAGAAAAAATAGATTTCGTAAATCATTCAATAATCAACTCAAAAACTCTTTTTTTTAGATCGATGGCTCAACGACGAATGGATAATGCGATGGCAAAAATTTTGATGACTCCTACAATATTTTTCACAAATGGTTATTTATCAACGAATACTGCACGAGGTGGAAGTGGTCTATTTATGCAAAAGAAACTTACTGACCTGAAATATGATCTTGTGTTGGAAAACTTATTAGTAAACGGTTTTGTGTTGAAATGCGATGTTATTCAACGAACTCATTTACCGAAAAATAATAACTTGTCATCTTCTTATTATAAACAACAGCCGTCGTACTTTGAACAGTCGGAATTACGAATGAAAGAACTTCAGGTATATTTTCTGTTTATATATACTTTATACTACACATGAGAGTCTTTCAAATCTACCAAGAGAAAAACTCATTTTAATTTAACGAAATAGAAAGTAGTTAATTAATAAATTTCAGCTTTTCTTCAAATAATGACAATGACTTTCAACAGCAAAATAATATTTTGAAGATCTATTTTTATTCATAGTATATGGGGATCAATTTTAATGAATACAAAAAGAATTATGAAAATTCAACGTTGCCTAAAAATACTTATTTCAACAATGATGGTATTCAATTAATCAAAGGCGAAGAATGGATACAATTTTATCATACATTTCTTAACGATATAATGGCGAAAACAATGATTGAGAGTAAAGTAAAAAGCAATGAAATTATCGAATATAATGGTCGTTTTGGTTTGAACAACTTAAATACGAAAGATGTTGTATATGAACGTGAAGGAATAGTCATAGGTTTGTTGAAACATTTAATAGATTGACAAAAATTTATTTTATTGTTAGATGAACCAAATGAAGGACAAGTTGAAGAAATGATTTATGTTAATACTGTAAATAAAGGTGAGCTTGTTGATAGATGATCGTTTTGTTTTGCATTATTTTAATACTTATTTTATAGATATTATTCCAGGTCTATCGACTCTTCTTGCTCAACCATTTTCTCGTATTCCACTGAATGCGATAACTAATGAATCACAAATGGAAACTGAATCATTTCCAAGTAGGAAACGGATGAAATTATGCTTAGATAAAGAAAACTTGGTACATATTACACATGAAGGTATATAGATTAAATTAATTTTTCATTTTATACATATTTTTTTCTGTGGAAACGAAGGCTACTTGTATTGTTAATTGGATCTTTCACTCATTTTAATAGTTGATCGAAAAAACAGCATTGTTGAAGAAAATTCAACGACTTTCTACTTTTGAAACTAGCTTACGTGTTTTGATAGTTTTGCAAGATTTTGTTTTTCATGGATATTAGAAACATTAATATAATAGAGACCACATAAGTTGTGATTTTTCCTACGGCAAACGTTTAAAAATTTCTTCGTAATCTATTACAATCGATTTTCTATCTTCTATTGTAATTAAAATTGAAATCTGTCATGGTTGACACGACACAGAAGATTTGAATTATTCACTATAGAAAAAATAATTCAACTAAAACAACTACAAAACAATTCTATTAATCTATCTATTTTTGACTGTTTATTCAGTGAATAAGTTTCGAACAAACCGTTCTTTTAGTATACTTTAATCCATAGAGAAAGGGAAACATATGAATGTTGATCTTAATTCAGCAGGTGCTTTTATAAAGAAAAATCTAATGTTTTGAATTCCAAGAATATTACTATCATTATTGACTCATTTCGAATTGTTGTTTTCAATACACCAGCAGAGTTTGTTTTTTATCTAAAGAAAATTACTGAGGTTACTTACAAATCCTAACCTTTTACTTTCTAAGAATAATGAAAAATTAAGATATATTTTCACACAGTCTCATAGTCTATTTATCATGAGAATTATTTATTTGTTTATAGATGTTAATTTTCATCCTGTGTCACATTCCACGCCGATCAATATCAATCATGATTCTTCTTCGTCTTCAGTACTTTTACAACGTTCGTTTTTCTTTTTTAATATTTGAAAAATCAATAATGCAAATCTTATTTATTTTAGCTGACCATGAAACGTCACTCCCGCATCTATTCGATGATAATGCAGTTGTGATTTTACCTCCTACTACTTGTAATGATTGTGACTCGTTTCAATCTTTATCTACTGTTACATCTTTTCCAATACAAGTTGTATCGAGTAATTCGATCAATAGAGTTATAGACATATTAAATAGTTCATCCATTAAGATTGGTTCTACAAGCCCAAATTGTGAGTATCTATCTATATGTTTTGACACTTTTCATCCTTTTCCCATACGATTTGTTATGACATGTAAAACAATCGATCAGTGGTCACGAAATTGAACATAAGAGATGCAGTTAAAATGCTTAAAATTCCAATAGCGTACAGTTCATCAACACTAACGAGATAAGTATAAACGAGGCGTAATAACTGTTCATTGTTATTTATGATAAATATTTTCTCTAAACAATATATCTCCTTGCGAATGCTTAATTAATTTTATTGGAGCTAGATAAAAGAGTTTCTTTTTGGATATTTTTCCGATTGACAACTTATCGTATGTATTTAGTTATAGATTTGACGAAAAATCATCGGAATGATCTCGACAAGCAACCACAAGTTAATGGTAAATTATCTATAATTCATAAAACGAATATATAAAGCTTTTTTAACGAAAAATAACTGAATAACATTTAACTAAATGAATATGTAATTGCAGATATTATTGGTGATGTTCTGAAAAATATTATTAATGTTATTGTTTCTCAGTTTGATGTCGTTATGGATGCTCCATTGGCTATTTCAGGTGAGTTCTAACACTTATCACTTCACTTCTTATAGAAAGATAATGCGTAGATATAATTAAAATGAGTACACTTTTAAATCAAAAGCAGAGAATGAAAATGATGATATATCTATGAGAAATATCTATTCAAATGTCGACTTCTATTGTAGCAACAATCAAGAAACGCGGTCGTCAACCATCATCGAAATCAACTTTGCGTCAACCTATTACTGCATTGGGTAATTTTAAATTTCTTCAACCAGTTTATTATAGATTTTTTAATGTTTTTCTTTTTAGAAATTAATATGGTTATTGAAAATGATAAGCATCCAATTTGGAAGAAGTTAATTTTAAATAAACACGTATTGGCTTCGATGAGTGATCTCTCACGGAGTGTAACAGGAAGCGATGAGATCAATGCAGCACGTCTGAGTTGTATTGAAAAACTAGTAGATATTGGCTGTTTTATAAATGGTGATGAGTTTCTTAATGGGAAACTACGAGCTGTGCTGAAAAATTCACTTGAAGATCCTCGACTTATCTCAGCACTTAATAAATATGGTATTGATATCGATGAATACAAACAATCTTTTAACAATCATGCTCCTTTTGCATACAAGAATGGCATTGTAGTTCCTGCTCTTTTGAACATCGATACAAATAAAAAACAGTTTACAAAAGTTTTTGTCGATACAATTCAGTCGGATCCATTTTATTCCGTATATCTTCGAATTGATTCAAAACACGTGATGGAATCTTTACCATTAAAAAGACAGAATACATCTAGTTATGGTAAGTAGTATGCCTCTTCATTTATTTTGTTTTATCTTCTTTTTGTTCTATATTAGCAACAGATTTATTTCGTCAGAAACAACAACAGAAAGTGGCTACTAAGGAAAAAAAAGCTGAAAAATTAATCAACAAGAAAACGGTAGCTTCCAACAATAATAAGAAAGGTCGTCGTACGCATTGAACAACATCTAATCGTTAACTAATTGACAACGTTCCTACGTTTCTACTTCTGTAGATTTTGTTGTTTCACTCACCCAATGCGTAATTTTAAAGTTCTATCTATTTTTTTAGTTTGATTTTCTACTTAGGAAGAAATTTTCATGAAATCTATATTTTTTCCTGTTTTTTTGTCGTTTTTTTACACAAAGATGTAATTGTTGTAAACATTTCGTATACTATGAACTATTTTTTTCTTGTTTTGTGTAAATTATGTTTCTCATAGCTTCTCCTTTTTATAATTGCATATATATTGTATAGTCTTAATACTGATGTGTATTTATCATACTTCGCTATAAAAGTAGATGATGAAAAGCGTCTTTCTGTATAAATTTGTGCTTTTCTTATATTATTTTGTTTTACCACTGATCACTTTTCTTATATTTTTTTGTTTTGATTTTTGGTCGTTTATTTTGATTTTATATTAATAAAACGTTTAAAAGATATTTCGGAAAAGAATAAAGAAGAACTAACTGTTTTATTTTCATTTTCTATAGCTAAAATGTGTAAAATTAATCATAAGAATCTTTTGTGCACTTCATAGCTTTTTGATTGCAAATAATCTGATTTCAATAATAAAAATATATAACACTCATTTTCTCTCATTCTTTACAGGGCAGATGACAAACACCAACGAGAGATTTTTCAATCTTCTTAATATTTTATCGTTTAGAGCAGCACGACTAATTGTTACATTTGAACAATGCATGCCTGCTTGTTTAGTACCCAGAAAAACATCGTTTTTAATGAAGGAACGAAATGAATTTGCTCGTGCATTAATACAACAAGAGCTTGGAGAATCTTATTCATCAGAACAAATTCTACATTGTCGCAATATCATCAATGCTAATGATATTAGCAAAATAGAAATGGGTGTTTGCATTGACTTAGAAGATGCAATCAATCGGTTTAAACTCATCCATCCTACTCATCCATACATACAAGATCTAAATACTCTATCTCTTGTTCCATTTCGAACACAATGCAACAATTTTCGAGATGGCATTGAATGTGGTGATCAACTTCGACTAGATTTTCATATGACTGCCTTCATCATTTACCCTACCTCAATTCGTTCCTGCACAATGTATAGTGCTAATTGCAAAAAATGTCAACTCAGTTATCGAGTTTCATCTATTTATTGCATGAACGAACAAAAAATTATTGTAACACCAGAAGCAATAGAAAAAAAACAATATTTCCATTTGTCATCTGGGAAATTAGTGTATTCTCGTGAATTACTTGTTTCAGTTTCTTCTGATCTTGTTAATGGCCATATCAGTTTTAATGGTGCTGGTACATCATTATTGTCTAAAGTGACTCGTATTCATCCTGAATTTGATAAAAAATTTGATCCAGCAGAATTTACTCGTTCGTTAGAAGCTCATTGGCTTTATTTCGAATTGTTCAATTTGATTTTCATGACTAGTGCAGAAAAAAAAGTTGTTATTCCAAGAGCGCTCTTCTCTGGTAAGATTTTGAGAAAAAAAAACTTAAAGAGTACTATTTTACAAAAATAATCTAAAGCTTCACATCAATTAGACTACAAATATGTTCCTCTTTTTAGCACGAAATATTGTTAAAGGTGGTGGTATGATTAATGCAAAAGCACAATTCCTTGAAGAACATTTAAATTGGATATACAATCTTTTTAGCATCTTCTGGTCTCATCACAAACTTATTCCTGATTGTCAATGTGATAGTTCAGCTTGCTCTCGTGTATTAATTCTAGATGGACATCAGAAACCTCGAAGAACTGTTTGCAGTTTTGATAATGTCACGTCTCTCATGAATGAAGATGAATTAGGAGTATGTAATCGAGGTTGTCCATATCAGCCACAAAAAAGAAAAAAAGATGAAAAAAGAAAAAATAGTAAGTATCTATACTTCTCAAGTTAAATGAAACGAAAAAATAATAACTGCATAAAATTTACTACTATAAAAAAATTAATTAATAAATTTACAAAGAACTTACCATCATTTTAGAAATAGTAAGCAAACGTTTGAATAGTTGTTGATTATTTATAATCGAATAAGTGCGCTGCTGTTCACATAACATATGTTCGTTCTATTGTGTGATTCTAAACATTGAGGAAAAATATTTATAATAAAAGCACCATTAATTTTTCTTCTTTATTTTTGTTTAGAAACTTCACCATATTATTGTTTTTACCATCAAAATTTGAGTGAATCAGTATCGGCAAATGTAGTGGAAGATCGTCAACGTGATCAAGCGTGGGAAGATGATTTAAAATTATTAGAAAAAGATGATTTAACACATGACTATGAAACATGTAACGTAGTAAGATCACAGGAAGATGAAGAACTAGAAAATAAACGTAAAAGCATGGGTTTTCTGGCTTCATTTTTATCGTGCGGTATCGTAATAGGATTCACTGAATCAATCAATCATGAAGGAGCACGAAAAGTGACAGACCACTTATTAACTATGATTAAAATGGGAAGTAAAATACCTGACGCAATGATATATGATTCAGCTTGCACTTTGAAACTGTTTTGGACCAAAAACTATCGTAATATACATTTAAAAGAAACTGCTGCAAGCAAAATACTATTCGAAATGCGAATAGCAGTTGACAGGTTTCACCATAAAAACCATGTACATAGCATGTGCAAGACAATTACAAATCCAGATTGTACAACAAATGGAAATTATGAGGCTTATCAAGGTATAAACACTGGTATAGCCGAACAATCCTTTCGCTATTTAAGTGAATTTAAACTTTCTTTACGTCGTTTGGCATATCCTACTTCAACAATATTTAGTATTTTACTTCTACATCTTTGGAATTGTCGGCGTGTTCAAATTTCACCCGACTGCTTCGGTTTAGCCATGAAATATATACCTGATAAAATTAAACCTCTATTCCGTACTTATTGCATTTTTGAAACTGCTCAATTAAGTAGTAACAAGATTCTTACAGACTCTATGGATTTAACTCAGGATGAAGAACAAAATGATGAGATCGTTGAAATGACATTAGGTGTTGATCATCTTGAACAATTAGATTATGATTGTTGTGTGAACTTGGAAGAATATGCGTGGGATTCCGATCAAGAATAGTGCAGTTGTGATGAAATAATAACGAATTCTGTAATAAATTGATGAACATCTTATTTCTAAATACTAATTTACGCACTGGTAATGGTGAGAAATCTAAATATTAACATGTATTTCTTAAAGTCTATTTGATAAACTAGAAAAAGTAAATCATTTTGTCTGTTATTGTCACTGATTATAGCGGATCGAGAATAATTTTTATTACATTCAATTGAATATACATATACCCTTGAATATTAAAAACAATCGTTCTTTTTTTCTGTTTATTCAATATTTTTCTGTATATTTTTGTTTATTATTGTATAATTTGTTCAAATATTTATGGAAGATGTTCTTGATAGATTATTCTATAATAGCTTTATCAAAATGCTTTTACTATCAGCGTATGAATGAAACTCCTCGATCAATTAAAATAGCAAAATAAGTATATTTGATATCAAGTACTATTCAGAATTTTTTCATCTAAGAACAGCCTATTTTACCTTAACAAAATTACACCTAACTTCAAATCTCCACATGTAATTAGATTAGTCTGTGCTACTTAAAAAAAGCTGCAATTCTAAATAAATCTACAGGGTTTCCAAAGTGTCGGACATGCAGAGAAATTACTTGTCTCGATTGTGCAGATATTTATACTACCAGTGACTGAAGACTTTCCTAGTATTTAGTTAACCACCTAAAGGAAACGAAAATAAATAATCATAAATAAATAAATTAAATAAATAAATAAATCGGTATCTTCTCAATGATTGAATTAAAATTGACCAATTGAATGATATCGCTATCAACCTATAACAAAAATAAAAAGATAAATAACTTTTTTAAGATTTAATTTCAATTCAACATTTCCGTCAATTGATATAAATTTTGATATCGAAAGCAAATAAAAAAATCGTTTATCAATTCAATATGAATTAACTATTTCAATCAAATTCATATACATTTTCAAACTAAAACAAAACGATGAATAACTTTTTTTAAGATTGAATTTTGATTCACCGCTTCAATTATATCGATTTCAATTTTATATCACAAGCAAAAACAAATTCGTTTATCAATTCAATCTTAGCTAACTATTTCAATCAAATTCTTATAAATTTTCAAACTAAAACAAAACGATAAATAACTTTTTTAAGATTGAATTTTGATTCAACGCTTCAATTATATCGATTTCAATTTATATCACAAGCAAAAACAAATTCGTTTACCAATTCAATATGAACTAACTATTTCGATCATATTAACATACATTTTCAAACTAAAACGAGAAAAAAAATATATACTTTTTCATATTGAATTTCGATTGAACACTTTAGTCATATCAAAAAACATTTCGAAACAACAGACAAAGAAAAAAAAAGTTATCTCGTTTCAATTGATTAACTATTTCGAACATATCGATACCCATTAAGAAAACGAAAATTAAAAAAAAATAATTTTTTTCAAATTAAATACCAACAAATTATATGCACGAGAAGTACATTGACTTAGAACGAAAACTAGATCATAAATAACATTGTTCCAATTCCATTTTCATTCAATAGTTTAATCATATGAATACCAATGTCGAATCGAAGGCGAAAGAAAAATACGTTTACTCATTCGAATTAATTAACTATTTCAATCATATCGATATCAAATTTCAAAATCAAATTAAAACACAAATATATTCTTTCAGATTTAATACAAACTATCCATATGCACAAGAAGCATATTGAGTTAAAACAAAAACAAAAGGATTGAACTGCAACTCATGGAAAAAATACTAATCATGTGAACTTCGTACCCATTGCAACACAACAAATATATCTTTTTAGATAAAATTTTATGGATTGTTTCGACCACAACCATATTCTAAAATTGAATAGAAAAAAAACAAGTTTTTTCATTATTAATTCTAATTCAGCAAATACTCAATGGCAACACGCATGTGTTTAATTCAGAATTCGACTGAATTCCTCAAAGACCCCAGACCTCACATCCAGAAAAAAACATACCTATAGGGGGACATACACATATATGAATTCAGAATTCAGAATTCAATGAATTCAGGTTTGAAGTGAATTATTCTAAAGATCCCCTAGTTCCTCATTTCGTTTTGAAATGCGGTGCAGTTTTTTCGTTTCAAATTCAGATTGGAATCATATACCACATTGTATGGAATTTGTTCCGATATGAGGAATTCAATGCTTCTCAAAAATGTTTTCTTTCTGGAAAATTCGTATGTTTTGAGAACATTCCATGATTCTGGGAACATTCGTATGTTTTGAGAACATTCCATGATTCTGGGAACATTCATTGATTTTCGGAAATTTAGGAATTTTGGAAAATTTAGGATTTTTGGAAGTTGTCATTGATTTTGGGAAATTTAGGATTTATGGAAGTTGTCATTGATTTTCAGAAATTTAGGATTTTTGGAAGTTGTCATTGATTTTCGGAAATTTAGGAATTTTGGAAGTTGTCATTGATTTTCGGAAATTTAGGATTTTGAATTCAACTGAATTCATCAAAGACCCCCATAGACCCCCAAAGACCCTCCGTCCAGAAAAACACATACCTATATACACATATATGAATTCAGAATTCAGAATTCAGCTGAATTCATCAAAGTACTTCGTGTTTTGGGATTGTTTAGAGTTATGCTACTCTTTTTATGTGTCAGGAGCATGTGAAGCGTTGAAGCTGAAGAGATTATGATTGTAGTTTGGTGAAGAAACTGAGTTCGTCGTCGTCTCTCTCGATTTCGTTACTGTTATTCTGGGACCAGCTAAACCTCCCGTATTGGTCGAAGTACAGCTATTTTTTTGTTTTTTGAATTCAGTTTGAAATGGAATACCCCATAGACTCAGTTTGTGATATATTTTGATTGTTTTTATACGTGTTAGATTTGTTTGGTTGGTCTGATCGAAAGGTCAACCTGACCCTTGTCCTATAATCAGCTTGCATAGTGTTGTGCAGGTCATATTGGGGTTAAATTTTTGATGTATTGTTTCGTTGGATTATGATATTGAATATTTCCCTGTTCGATTGTGCTCTGGGCTACTCTGGTTCATGTGTGGGAAGATTGTTGCGTATTTGTTTTATTATTTTTATTTAATGGCATAACGTAAAGTAAACGATATTGGAACTTTGGTTGTCAGTTTTTTGAACGGATTTTTTTTTGTTTTTATATATTAATTGTAGATGGATGACTGTTCCCACGTGTCGCAATATATGAGGTGTTTGAATAACTAGCTTTTTCCGATTGAAATGATTTGAACATCTATGAATTTAGTTTCTTAAAAATTGGTAATTCTAATTGAAGCATTGTTTTTCTAAATGTTGTATTTAATATTGATTTTGAATCCAATCAATGGAAGTCTGTTTTGAGATAGTGTAAATATTTCAGATTTTTTATTATCGGAAAAGTTAATAGAAATTCAAGCATGCTATTATCGAGGATTGTAGTTCGTCAAGGATTTAGTTGATGTATTCATTATTTTAATTCTAATAGATTGAAGGAGATATCAATATTGGTAATGTTTTTCTTTTTATTGTGGGAAACTCTTGTGGGAGTGTGTTATTATTGTTTATTTAATTATATATTTCTCCTTGCTTGTGGTATTGGTTAGAATTGATGAATTTTTCATTTTCTAGTACTAGAAACTGATAGGAGAGCTATATTTGACTGGTCTTGTCTGGAAAGATATAGAAACAATCTATAATATATTACTTAACATAATGGTTATTGATGATAAAAACAGTTCGTTGATGTAGTTTCTCGATCAAATGTGAACATACACTTTTACTCTTAAACAATTAACAGAATAATTCATTGAGTAAAATGGATCGACTCATAGAAGAATATAGTATGTAGATGAAAGCAACGTTAAATTATTAAATCTAGATCATATTGATGCGAATCTTAATTTTATATTCAAGATGGATCATCGAATTACTATTCATCTAATTTAAGAGGCTATGGTTGATTATATATATTGAGTACATTCGAAGTATTTTGACTATTATTCTAACGTATGTTTATGATTTAAAATGTCTAGCGTCAATTTCCTTTGTTTATATATGATTTTTAATACAATAAGAAAGGAATCATTAAAATTGCACCTCTAAAAGAATTCGTCATATTTACTATACAGAATAATTCGCGATCAGATATTGTTAGTGATAATGATGATATTGAAATAAAACAGTACCCGATAAATAATTATTAGAGTATTTTGAACTATTTTCAAAGCAAATTTACTTTTGTATACTCATTTATACATTGATTAAACAAAAACTAATTTTCGATAGAAAGCCCCAATATGATTCTATTTGGAAATATTGAATATATGCCATTATGGAATCTTAAAATTAAGACATTGCCTAGAATTAATCAAAGATCAGTTTTGACGAATGATTAATGTAATTTATTTTATGATCGAATCATTCAAATTAGATCACACCCTCTATTATCTGCTACGAACTAGATATAACATACTGAATGAATGAGCATAACCTTTAAAATAATTAAATAATTAGTTCGAATTCTATGATTTTACGAGGTCATCGAGATTAGATAATTATTTGTGATTTAAATGTGAAGCCTTGTTCTAATTCATTGAAATTACCTTTTTATTGATATGTTTAAGTTTAACTTCTTTAAATTTCTTTAAATTTGAATGAGTTTCTACTCTATGTAGTAATAATAGGCTACCGAAAATACCTGATGAGTCCCTTAAGAAAAGACGAAACGCGTCGTGTCGATCTTGGTTTTCTTGAAACTTTATTTCTTTAGCCTTGAATTTCAACTATATATATTTGTTATAAAGTTGTTATTTAATTACGTTTTGAATCTTAACTGCCTCATGAATTTGAGTGAGTTTTGATTTGTATGTAATTACGCCTCGATCGAAACGCGTCGTGTGATGCTTTGAATTTCAACTACATATATTTGCTTATTTAAAATTAGCAACGGAAAAGAAGCATTGGGCTAAAGAAGTCGTTCAACGTACAAAAAGATGTGACGATGTACTTAATACACGATTTGTTCAAAAGAAAATTAATCAATTAACTAGCAATATTTCTGAAGCAAGTGCTGCAATTTCAGATTTACAAATCCAATTATCTACATATTGGATGCAAACTACATCTGAAATAACAAATCAAAGATTAGCTCAAGCAACAACTAAAAATATACTACTAGAAAGAACACGTCAGGCAACGACGACAGCAGCAGCAGCAGCAACAACAACAACAGATACAGACGACGAAATATCAACAAGAGCTCCGACTACCACTACTGCAAAAAATTATGCTAGAGAACCAGTTGATCGTATTGAAAAATTTATATTAGAATATATTAAATCTTGTACACAACATGTTCAAAAGATGGCTCAAATTCGAATTCAATTAGCTAAAGCCCAAATGGAAGAATTCAAGGCCTTAGAAGATTTTGAACAAGTAGCCACAGCAACTCAATGGAATCTTCATCTAATATTAAAACCAAAAGTTAAACTCTGGTCAATTAAAAATAAAAATTATCAAATACTTTCAAAACGTGTAAAATTTGATCTACTACCTAAATTTATTGATAAAATTGACAACATTGACTCTTCATTGAAGATTGATGAATCAATTATAAAACAAGATGAAGCACAAGAGATGTACAATCAAATGCGTCAAATCACTAAAGATTTTCGTACTCAAACAATGACGTTACATATTCAATCTGCTGCTCGAGAATACGAAGTAATATTACATCAAGTCAATAGCATCATCGAAAAATTTCCTCAAAAAAATGATGATGATGAATCTGATGCTGAAATTGGTTATGCAGCATTTAAACAATATCACGAACTACGTGAAAAAAGATTAAATTTAGAAATTGAAAAATCACTTTATTTTTTATTCGAACAGCGAGTCGCGGGCAACGACAACAATCAACAACAAGAAGAAGAAGAAACAACGGCCCCGACTCTAGTACGTTCACTCGGCGAGGACTTCTTGGTCCCGCAATAATCAACCAAGCAAATATCAAACTAACAGAGCAAGAACATCAATTATTAAGATTAGGTCCCCGCTTTATATTCGATGACCCCAAAACAGCAGCTCGACGAAGGACAACTGAATTGGCAACTTTGAAACGAAAATTAGAAGCTCGTTTCTTTGAAAAGAAAGTAAGCCCCGGTCGTCCAGTCGAACAATTCATTGCTGAATTAGATGTCTTGCTCCAAAATTTGCATAATATCCCAACCACTAAGAAACAAATACAATTTAATAGAATTCAAACGAATAAATCATTTGACAATTTGTCCTCAATTATTCAATCAAGTCAATCAAGCCAATCTCAAACCATTATTCGACCAAGAAAAAAGAAAAATTATGGTCGAATAGTTAAGAGATTGAAATACAAAATTCATTTGGCTAATACCATTCTAAGAAAGACTGATAAGTCTAAGGTATTCCATTTAGGTAAAGTTGATCATTATCAGAAAAAATCAGAAGAATATATGGATAATACAAAAGCATATCAATGTCTTGGTACAATTGATCCACTTCCTGATTTAATTCAACGAACCAATAGATACTTATTAGATTTAAGATTAGCTAAATGGATTACTCAAAAACAATATGAACAATTAAGTATTAAATCAAATGAAGTCGAACTAGCTCATTTATATTATTTACCAAAAGCTCATAAACCTGGTACTCCTTTAAGACCAATTATATCCGGTTTGAAACATCCTACGATTAAAATATCAAAATTTCTTGATGATTTACTTCGACCATTATTCGATCAGATGGCTCTAGATTCTACAGTCACTTCTGGTTTTGAATTAATCAAAAATTACAAGAATGGTCAACAGTTAATATGTGTCAAGATACTTTATTTTGTACAATTGATGTTACTGACCTTTATACTATGGTACCTCAAATAGAAGGAGTACTTTCTTTAAGGAAAATGTTAGACCAACTAAAATTAAAACAAGTTGGTAAACTAAAAGTTGAAACAATTATTCGATTAAGTCGATTTGTTATGAAAAATAATTATTTTTCTTATAATGGTCAATATTATCATCAAGTAAGAGGAGGAGCTATGGGTTCTCCTCTTACTCTAACTATTTCCAATTGCTATATGTACTTCTTTGAAAGACAAATAGTCAATCAAATTAGAAATAGTGGCGGACTTTATTTCCGATATATTGATGATATATTTATTACAATTAATTGGCCTGCTAGACATTTACTTAAACAAATCGAAAGATGGAATAAATTCGATGAAAATATTAAATTATCTGCAAATATCGGTTCAGCTGTCAATTTTCTAGATCTAAATATGGAAAATCGAGACGGTCAATTATATACGACAGTCTTCCAAAAGCCATCTTATGAACCATATTATTTGCCCTTTAATAGTATTCATCCATTACATATGAAAAAGAATATTCCATTTGCCATGCTATTACGTGCCATTAGATATTGTTCAACATTTGAGTCATATCTAAATGAGCGTGAAAAATTAAGAATGGCTTTATTACTTAATAAATATCCAAATAAAATCATCGATGAACAATTCAATAATGTATTAGTAAAATTTGGTATTAATGAACCATTAACTTCAATCAATTACAATAGATCTCGTCAAAAAATTATTGATTCTCCTATAAAAGCGAAATTATCTGTCAATTACGACAAGTCAATATTCGTCCATTTTACCTACTGTTCAAGTATGAGGACGTTTCCAATTAAATTCCACACCTTATGGGACAAATACTTCAATAAATCTCCGATAAATGAAGTTATCCCAATACTTGGTACTCGAAATGTCAATAATCTGCAAAGACGACTGATAAATACAAACGAATAAAACTTATTGAATTTTTATGCAAATTGAATCTCTCATAAAATTGAAATACAAACGAATAAAACTTATTGAATTTTTATACAAATTGAATTTCTCATAAAATTGAAATTTAATATACCTTTCAAATATTCAATATAACCAAAGAATTAAAATTAAATATTAAAAATTAAGTTAAAATTATATCAAATTTGATACCATAGAAATTATAAAATTTAATTTAGTGTTTTTCGAATGATTCCAATGTGAAATTCCAGTTTTCGAATTGATTCCATTGTGAAGTTCTACTTAGATCGAATTTAAATAAAATCTTATTTGAATTTTATTTTATTTTATTTTACCATACAATCTTGTTTGAATTTAAATTAATTATACCATACAAGTTTTATCATATTTTGTTCTCAATATTAATTCAATTTTACCTTATAATTTTATTTAAGCTTCAGTTCAATTTTACAATACAATTTTATATACAATTTTATTCTCAATATTAATACTTTAATTTAATTTGATTTTTACCATGCATTTAAATCTCAATGTTCATACTTTAATTTAATTTGATTTTTACCATGCATTTAAATCTCAATGTTCATACTTTAATTTAATCTTAATAACAAAACAGTATTGAACTAAATTTAACTTACAAGATCAATATTGAATTTTTCAAGTTTAACTTAATTTATAAATTGTGAAGCTAGTATGGACTTAATATGAAATTAGTATAAAGTTAATATGAAATTAACATCAAATTAATTTTTTTTCAATTTACCAAATTGAGTTCTGATCAATTAGATTGAGTTTTAATCTATCAAAAATTTTAATTTATTTCGATTTTGATATAAATTTATTGAGCTCGATTTTAATATAAAATTATTTAAATCTTAAATAATCAACATCGATATGATATCAGCAAAGACAATTGAACGAAAACATATTAAGCAAGCATACGATATAAGTAAAGACAGAAAGTAGAAAATATATCGGAAAATAGTAAAACGGATCATTGAATGTTTCAACAATGGTCAACATATCCAAATCACAACCGTGGCTCCAAAACTGGACAACACATCCATTGGTCAACGTCGCTCCTGAAACAGGAACAAGTTCCTCGGCTCTGTCGTGATGTTGGACCGACCATTGACAACAAACTCGCGATCACATCGGCTCAGAGAAAGAGAGCTCGAACAATGGAATACTGCCCTCAAATGTTCAAGCATTTTGAACCACTGCTGTCTTTTAAATTTTGTATTTCTTTCTTGATCTCCATCCTCATTTTTTCAATTTTCATAATATTTTAATCTTATTTATTTTATCTTATTTGTTTTCCTATTCCTATTCACATTTTTATTGTGCTAAATCAAATGTAGAGCCCTGAAGAGTGTTTCAATATTTTAATACTAAATAAACATGAAACGCGTCGGCAAAATAAATCTCTACATTTATTCAAAATATTTCTTATATTTAGCACAGAAAGAAATTATTATATTTTCAATTGAAATTCGACTTTGATCGGTTGCTGAAAAGCAAGAGTTGAGACTAGCAAATTGATTTGTCTTTTCGTTAAGAGATAGATTGATTTGTTTTTGAATTGATTCACACCCTCAGCCACACCCTCAAGATTTTTGTTCTCTTTTCAACGAGTAAATTGTTAGACATAAATATTTAAATATTATTACTCTATAGTTGTTTCAGATAGATTCATTTCTTTCGTTTAAAAAACAAATAGGGAATGTTCTCAGAGTTCGATTGAAATACGATGAGTTTTCAATATATAGATCTTTACGCTATTGAATTAAATTTATCAAGTTTGAGCAAAAACAAATGCAAAGAATAATTCTTCTAACCTATATCATCCCACCAATCTTTTGACAATATTAATCTTGATGATATTAGTTGACAATCCATCGAATAGGATCCCATATTAAAATCATTTTTTCCTCCGGGTACTAAACGAATTCGAAATAATGATTCAAATAGAAATGGATAAATCATTAATATAATATAATACATAAAGCATGTGCAAATTGTCATATATATAATTAAACCACAAAACACTCGGAATAATTGTTGAGAAATGACCGATGAATAAAAGATAAGAGATCCTATTAGAACGATTAATGTCGTTAAAAAAAGTAATAACAGCAAACGTGAAGAAACTTAAATCCATTTGGGGTACAACTATATGAAATGCAGTTAAAATAATAATAGAAGATATATAATTTTCGATCGATTTAAATATAATAACTCCACTTCCAGTTGATTCTTGAGCAAAATTAATAGACATATATTTAAGCATATATTTATGACCTATTTGTATAACACAACGAGACATAGGCTCAATGAGTTTCACTTCACTGCACGAACCCAAAATTTTATAAGTTTTACCAGCTTGCTCAACAAAATGACGATAATTTACTGGAGGCTTTGGTAAACGATCAAAGTCATCATCTGATATACTCTGTTTGAGAAATAAGATTCAAAAAAAGACTAGATTTTTCACAATAGACATATTCTAAAAGCTAGATAGATAAATAAATAAATATATTATGATATTGAAAAGAATATTTTTTTTCTAGCTTTTTTCAAATTTTATTTAAAAAAAACGGTTTATCTGTGTTACTCACAAATTTGATACTAAAACTTCTTTTATCGATTGAAAGCACTCTTATTTTATTTCCTATGGAAATCAACTGAACGAATTAGTTTAGATTGGTTGGTAATCAATCTATATCTCTAGTAGTGTTTTCTCGATCGATTTATGATTACTCATCTACTCACTCATACCAATCAAAGAACTTCGATGATGTCTTTTTGGGTCAAACGTACTGCAGAATTGAATTAACTTAACTCTGTTTTAGACCTCAAACATATCAAAAATTCGTCAAAATTAGTTCTGTTTTGTTTTAATTCAACAGTCGTCCGAACTAAGAAATCAATCACCCAATCAGAGTATGAAACACGCCTCTCTCTCTCTTTCTATGTATGAAAAGTGCATAGTAAAAATATTGATGCATGAGAAGTAGGGATGCAACAGTGGCGATAACCGGCTCAACCGGTCACCGGTTCACCGGTGACTGTTCCAACCGGTAACCGTTCCAACCGGTAACTGGTCTAACCGGTAACCGTTTCACCGGTAACGTGACGGCAAAAATCGAATGCTAGCAATGAGCTCATATTCACGTAGATAGAATTTAAATGGTTCCACTATTATTCTCTATCAGTTTCAAGTATATTCGATGGGATCAAGCTGTTGTGATAATCATAAATATTTAGCTCGTCCTGTACAAAATAGACGTTTCATCGTTTTATACGTTGAACATTATGAGTAAAAACAATTGTTTGAGACCACTTGTTGTGGAAACAAAAAATCGCACTTCATGATAATCATTATCCCTTTTTTATTTCGTTTCGATGTGGTGTACAAGATAATTCACATCTATTTTTCATGAAAAATATTACTAGAAATTCGATAATGTGTTTCTCATGTGCAAATTTCACACTTATATTCAACAACAATGAAGTAAACATTTGATTACCGATGTAAGCTATAGACACATTACACATTAGAACTAAATGACGTCTGTGGTATGATTGAGCTCGTATGTTGCGCGTGGGTGGGATCTCTATATGACAGAGATTCGAAGCTTTTTATTCGCTTGGAGTTCGACGTCATTATTTTTACATGTTTTTTTCCTCATATTTCATGGATGTTGTTTTGTGATGAGAAATGAAGGATTTTTTTTATGCATATGTAATATCCACATGATCTTCACTAATTATGCATGAATTTGTGAAGTGAGATAGAAGTGAACATGATGAATGTGTAAAAATGTTCTGTATTATATTTGGAATTCTCGAAGCCTTTATTGTTTTTGTAAACATTTGTCGAAAACAATTTGAATATATACTGAACGAACGAAATAAACAAAACAGAGCACATTAGAAGGAATAGCATTAATTTAAAATTAGACTAAAATTGGAATAGAAATAATTCTTTGTTAACTTTAAGTCTGGCATCGAGACTAGAATGTGATCGATGAGAATGTGCTGCTATGTAATATTCGATTAAGTCGCTTCTGTGGACGTGTTGAAAATGATGATTTAAGTGTAGATAGTAGACAAGATTGATAGTTCTTAATTTTGAGAAAAAACTTATCCTCAAGGAGCATATATCTGTTTTTTCTTCCATGTGATGGTTTCGTTAGAACTAATTTAGCTTGTGCGTATATTCTGGCTCTCTTCCCCAACGGCACTGTTAATTAGTTGGCTTGTAAAGATGTCTCTACATTCTGCTTATGCTTCAATATGTTGCAGAAACAGATCAAAGTCAATCAATCATACATTTTCCAAAAAGATCGT